TCCAGTAACCGAACAAATTCACCTCTTTCATTTGGAGCGAACCTACCTTGTCTAATGGTCAAGCTATCAGCATTCAAGATAGATTCTTTTATATACTGTTGAAAACTATTCATCATTCCACAATAAAAACAAGAAATATTCTTGTGGATGTATTTTTTTTCTTAATAACACAAACGAAGAATAAAGAAAAGAATAATTTTTGAGCTCGTAAATATTTACGACGTGCATAGACTTGCATGAAACCTCAATTTGTAGAGTACAAATATAGAGTAATAAGCTCATCTGTATGAATAATGAAAGATCCGTATGAAGATTAGAAGAGGAATCAAGTATAGATTCACGATTATGTATTCGAAATACGATTTATGTTTCTATATTATTGGACCAGTTGAAAGGGAAATTAAAAACAAGATGTGCGACACCCAATTTCCAAGCAATTGCTATCTGTATGCATTTAGTCCCAGTGATTTATGTCTAGGTAATATTAATATCTATAAAATTTGATGGCCATTGGCTATCAGGAATAAAAATTAATCATTTTTGATTTCACGGGTATTCTCACGTGACTTATCACGCGCACGTATTGGTTATTTATTCACTTCTCGCATTTTCTCTTCTCACCATGTCTGACATAGATTCAGAATATTCCGATTCAGATCAAGCTTTTGATACTGCCCATGAAATACGGCCAGCCAAATCCAGTGATTTCCGTTCGCCTGGAGGTAGAAATCACGAAAAATTAGCGGAATTATTCGGCATTGACGAAGAGGATGAAGTGATTTTCTTATCATTACTTTGTCTTTGTGATCCTAAAACTCAACCATCAGAAAGTAATGATTATGTTTTAAGTATCCAATATCTTACAGAGGTATTCATTGGCATTGTTTATTTGGAAACGTTGAATAAAATCGAAGGCCAAGAAGATGATGACTTTGTAATCTCCATTACTTCAGTTAAATTTAAGATGTCACTTCAGATATATCAAATATTGTTCGATATTCTTTGTAAATTAGGTGTTGCCGACGATGAAGGTCTTCGGTCTCTCAATTCAGGTATAAATTTATCGATGTGGGATGATGGAATTGAATGGTGGGGGCCAGCAGAAGAACTATATAATGATCATTTTAATCTTCGAACTAGTTATCTCATGTGTTGTATACTTTTCAATGCCCTTAATTTCCTTTTTGTGGAAAATGGAATTTGTAATTTAGCCACAAATCCTTATACTCCATTTTTCACCCGATTTTGGAATTATTATACTGATTTACTACTGAAAGAATTAGATATTGATCATTTCCTCGAATACCTGGGGAAGGACACCCCTCCAGGGTTAGTGGAGATGTTAAAGGGGGCATCTATAGTGAGGTATATGTTAGCATATATTTTAAACCAATCACAAGGACCTTCCAACCCTAATTACATTATTGATTTAACTGAGAAAAGTCTTCTCGATGTTTATGATCCTGTTGTTAGAGACAACGTTAATGGAGGTGCCGTCACCAGAGACATACATTATTATGAATTCATTCATCACATAATGAATTTAGGCGAAAAGCCTTCGGAGGGAAGGATGTTTTATAATGACCATCCACCCTTTGATGGATATGATGAAGATTTACGTTATATCCTTGATTACGAGTCAGCCGAGGAGTTACTGGATGTGGAAGATGAAGTTTCTTCCTTTAAAAATCTTCAGAACTATCTTCGTAGTGCAGTTGAAGAGTTCATTGGAGGTAAAGATTTTGAAGATAGAACACCACAAGAGAGGATTGAAACTTCTATGGGACCAAACTTGATGTTAAATGATTCTTTTAGAAAATCAGTTTTACCTCAACTCCGATCGATCATCCATGATGTAAATTCATTGTCTACAGATGACGTTGAAGGTTTGTTAACGTTTGACCATCTACCATTCGAATCCATAATGACGTCTTCTCGGTATAAAGATGATCCGAAAGATCATGTCATTCGTATAGCCAAAGTTATGTTTCTTCTGGAAGTGTTCTTATTGCTGGATCATTATTTGGATGATTTAATTAGTTACATATTCGAAGAAGCCGACGAAAGATTCTATACACCCTTGGTGGAGCAAAATGCCATCGTACCTGTATACTCCATTAAGAATTTGGATGTTCTCCTTGTCAAATGTCCAGAAACCATTAAAGCCATTCTTGTTGAACTTTTCTTCTCCCCCCTGCGAAGAGGGATGCTTGTATTCAATTTGTGTCATGAAATCAACCTCTCGTATAAATATATTGATTTCATCTGTCAAATATTGGTGGGTTTCCCCTTAAATCCGGAATACGGATTTAGTAGGAAAGGTAAGACTTTAGAGTTCACTGACTTTGAGAAAGGTATGATGTTCAACCATTTTATTGAAAGTTGTGCTTTATTCTTGAAAGCCTCTGAAGGGATTGAAAATGACGAAGGATTTGAATTTACCCTTTCCACCACAGTATGTCATAAATTTGTCCATTTAATTTGTCTCCTCATAGCCAAAGTCATTCAAGAAGGAATTTTTGAATCCAAGGATGGCGCTGAAGCCTTAGGCTCGATCCATGTAATTATAGGATTTTTATTTAGTTGGATAAGTAAAGTACCTTTAGCTAGAACGTTATACTTCCAAGTTCTAGAATCGTTCAAGGCTAACATGGTAGACCCAATTAAGGTCCACATGGATGAAGGAAAGTACCCTGATGTTGATCCTAAATTAGCCAATATTTGTGTCAATGTCGTACATACATATAAGAAATCTCAACTCATCACACGAGGTGATTACGAAGAAGCTAAAGAATTTGAGGGTGATGCTGGAGCTATCACTGAATTTATAGAGAATTTCCCCCAAATAGTCGATTCAAATTCATGGCAGATTCTTAAAGAGATCGGTAAACGACCACCGGCTTTACCTAAAGAAGAACCACTTCACGTTCATCGTGTTTTTAAAGGACCTCTAGAAGTTTCAAAGAAGAGCATAAAGAAAAAATATAAGTAAATGTACATTATATAATCTCTTACGTAATCAACGCATTGCTGAGTAATTTCTTATGTAATCACGCGACAACGGGATTCTGGTGCGAACTGACAATTAGTCAAAGTCCAATGAACCGTTCTTTCATCAGATCCTTAACCTCATCCACCAGAAGAATGTCTAAACTCCAATACGTATGTTAGAGAATATATTTGCTTGACCCATTGAGGTGATCATCACTTCAGAGAGGTCATAACCACTTCAGGGAGGTCATAACCAATGCAGAAAACGTTACTAACAATCAGGTCAAAAGTGATGGTGCTCCACCACCAGCGGCTGCTTATTCTCATGCTATCAAAGCCAATGGTATGGTTTATGTTTCTGGACAAATTCCTTATACTCCAGAAAACAAACCATTGGAAAATGCTTCTATTGCTGATGAAGCTGAAAGAATTATCCAAAATGTTAAATCAATCTTAGAAGCTTCTAACTCCGATTTAAACCATGTTGTCAAAAACACCGTATTCTTGACTGACATGAAAGGACAATTTGCTGAATTCAATTCCGTTTACGTTAAGTACTTCAGTGAACATAGACCTGCCAGATCATGTGTCGCTGTTAAGGAATTACCTCTAGGAGTTAGAATGGAAATGGAATGTATTGCTCTTGAAAAAGATTCTTCCAAATTATAAGTGTTGCAGATTACTGTTTGTGTACAGGCTACTCAGTTTGTAGAATCTTATAACATTGTTGTCGCTCCATGTTCTTGTTCTCTCGTTCCAGGCTCTCGTTTCAAGGTCTCGTTACTAGCCTTATAGGCTCTCGTTCCAGGATCTCGTTCCGGATAGTTTTATCCCCACTTACAAACTCACCCAGCTTTATAGAAACCATATCAATATCTAACAGCTCACTCACCTTCCCAAAACCCTCTCATCCCCATAAATAAAACCCCCTTAATCTCTATACCCTCAGTTAGGGCTCCCGCCCTCATCCTCTGTGACCGCACCTTTTTTTTCGTTGTCGCACGAAAAGATTTTTTTACTACTACAAAAATTCTCAGTTGAAAAATTTCTTTCATAACGAAACTTCATAATGGCTGGACGTGTTACTTTTAGAAGAAGAAATCCATGTATGTGTAAATGAAATAGTCCTTTGGACAATATGAAACCGTAGGAATCAATGGGATCGATTGATGATAAGAAACAACCAACTTTTTTCATGAATCCGATGACTTGAACGATGATGAGAAGACCAGAAGAGAAGACGTAAAAGACAAGATGAAAAAGACAACAAACTTTAAACCTTGACAAGACAATAAGCAAGTAGGAGAAAAACCCTTCAACAGAAACAAACAGTGAAGAAATCAATCATCAGCGACCCATAATTCCAAATACCCATTTTTCAATTACTAACATTTTTTTAGACAACACCAAATCAAACAAAATCAAGGTTGTTAAAACCCCAGGTGGTAAATTAATTGCTCATCACTTAAAAAAAGTTGCTTCAAGACCAAAATGTGGTGACTGTGGTGATGCTTTATCAGGTATCTCAACTTTAAGACCAAGAGAATATGCTACTGTTTCAAAAACTCACAAAACTGTTCAAAGAGCTTACGGTGGTTCAAGATGTGCTAACTGTGTTAAAGAAAGAGTTGTCAGAGCTTTCTTAATTGAAGAACAAAAAATCGTTAAAAGAGTTTTAAAAGACCAACAAGAAAGCGAAAAGAAAGCTGCTAAGAAGTCTAAGAAATAAATGATTTATCTACGTTAATATACACTGTATTACCCTGTCTTTAGTAGGATGACTTTTAAGTCTGAATACTGTGAGACTACTCTTTTCTTCCCTTATGTTTATACGGCAACTGAGATGGTTTTGAAAATACGCACGGTTTGGTACTAACGTGATGAGATTTACGTCGTGAGTAGCCGTTTCACCCTGACTAACCTCACTGACTCATCTCATTTCATGTTCATTTATCAAGTTATTATGGAGTCTACAACACTGATTAGAAGTAATCAACAATAAATACCCTCCTCTGGTAGGTGCTAGGCCATATGTATCCCACCCTTAAGCACTGTAGTCATCATAGGCTCTGTAGACAACACGAAACAGCGGAAAACATATCCCTAGCAAGTGGGCTTATATACACACCAATCCTTATCAAAAATATATAAACTCCCTAAACACCATAAACTTTCTCATCATGGATCAACCAAGATTATCACAATTACTTAACAATACTTACATACCACCAACCAAGAAGCTGGAGGCCAAGGTGGTGCCCCCATATCACCCATGCTTGATAGTTCAAGATAAGCATAGTGAGTTGAAGATGAAACCTTGTGGATGTGCTGATGCTTATTGTGTTACAAACGTCGATTGGATTCCAAAACCAAAGTGAGAATTACATGAGTAGGTCAAAGGGTAGCCAGGGAAACCAGAGAAACCAGAGTGTCCAGGATAGTCAGGGAAGCTAGGGAAGCTATGTCAGGAGATGGATCAGACGACGCGGCAAATATACCCGATTTGGAAATAGATAAGTAACAGCATAGCATGGTGTATAGGAAGGTATAGAGAATAGACGGATAACGTATGGGCGTCACGGCGTAGAACATTTCATGAGAAAGCATATAAGGCAACGTATAGGACAATGTAAAGAGAATGGCGAACAAACATTCGACCTATCAACATATCAAGAGAAAGTCAGAGTAAACAACCTAAATCTGCCATGCATTCATTACCCAACATTCTGATCTATAATACTATCATTATTAATCAACTGATTGGTGATTTGTTCTCGTTTCCAGAACCTCAACAACAAATCCCCATAATTCTGTAAATCCTCTACGCTTATCATCAACTTAAAATCTAACAATAGTAAGAATTGTAACTCTAAATAGTTCAATTCTTCTAAAGGTAAACCCCCAACTTTAGCATATCTCAAATTTTTATAGAAGATATCCAGGAAAAACTTGGAAGAAATGGTAATTCCACTAATGATAAGTCTGTGAATATTATAGGAATCCATTACGAATAATTGTTCTTGATCTTTATCCTTCTTAAGGTTATTGGCCTTTTTAGCTATTCTATCAAAGTATACAAGTAAAGATAAGAACACTTCATTGGTCACGGGACAATATTTAAGCACTCTTGATAAATAAGCATGTAACGATATGCCGGGGATGTTGGTACCATGGAAAGCGAGGACATTGGCGAGGTATTTATTTTTCATTTCATCGTCTTCATCGTCGCCCAGTTTAAGTTTTTGCCTTATAGCTATGGTGTTATCGAAATGGTTGGGGTGAAGTTTATCGTTAGCCTCGATTATTTTGGTGAGGAGACATGATAACATAAGGATGAGGTCATTAACGGGGTAGTCTATGATATTGAGGTGATCATCGGAGGATGATGAAAGGTTGTGGAAGAATTCATGGTATGTCATGTAGTGGTCAGGTAAATAGTTGGCGGTGAAGGATCCTGGTCCGCTGAAGGATCCAGATCCAGTAAATGGTATGTTATTGGAGGCACTTGAACTGGGGCCACCTGAATTTGGGCCACCTGAATTTTGGCCCACACTTGAACTACCTGGATGTACATTTGAACTGCTTGGATGACCACCTGAACTAGGACCTACACTTGAACTACCCATGGATCCAGTAAACGGGATATTTGGACCACTTGAACTGAGTCCAGGACCGAATGAAGTATGACTGAATGAATGAGGACCCATATTTTGCCCACTTTGTCCACTGTGACCCATATTTTGACCACTGTGACCAACACTTTGACCCATTTGACCACCCTGGCTCTGACTCACCCCATGACCGTGAACATTAGTAACTGAATGAGTCGGAAACGAATATTTATATGAATTATTAGATGAATACGACGTCCCTACTATATTAGGTGTATTATGAGTCGATGGTAAGTAAAGTGAATTGGAATATGAATTCATTTTCTGGAACGAATTGGCCGAAATGGACTGATAGCTAGGGGGATTGTTGGGGAGGGAATGGATGTTCAAGTTATTGAATTGACTTAAACTACTACTAGCACTTGGATGTGAGAATTCTTGATTTGGCATATCACCATATTGATGTTCTTGTTGGTGTTGAAGATGTTCTTGTTGTTCTTGAAGGTGCTCTGAGCTATGATCCTGGGGATGCAGTTGTCCTCGTTGTCCCAGCTGTCCCTGTTGTTGCAAATTCTTGGTCAAATTGGAGACCTTTGGTTTATCCAATGAATTATTCATCTGGTGGTTAGTATACTTCGGGGTGGTACCGGGAATTTATGGTGATACCATTGGAACGATAAAGGTTGATACCGTACAAATCCATCTTCATTTGACTTCAGGAAGGTTCCCTGATCTATAAGTCCATTCAGTCACCTAAATTCCGTAGTAGTTAATGTGGTAATTTAACCCTTACCACGCCATTTTACTACTGGTTTTCTTCAATAACCTCCATTTCCCGGAACTAAGTACTCTAAACTATACATACTATTGCCGTTGATTACTTGCAATGTGAAAAACTGGTGATGATAACCTTTCGCTATTGTTATTTAATTTTGTCCAGAAATTGAGAACTTGAGAGGTGGGTCGCAGGATTGGAGATTTTGTGTAATGTGAGGTTTTAGACGGTTAAGTGAGGTTTTGGGGGGATATTTGACCTGCGATAGTGGATCTGGGGGTTTAAGGTTAACATAGGTCGAAGTTTCATCCCATTTGAATGAGTTTTCGGGTGAACAATCTCTCTCAAATGGTGTAAACCCCCAAGTAGGGTTTCGTAAACTCTACCCCGATTAGCTTATCGTCAATTATAAAAAGAACTGTCATTAAGGTTCCGTTACTAACGGAAGGAGTCATGGTTAATAATTACATGATGATTGCTTATTGTTACTGTTTTGAGTAAGTGGCAGATCTCGGGTTCTTGGAAGCTTAGGACTCTCAACGATCTGAGAATATTCTATGCATGGAAATTGTTGGGTTGTTTAAACCATCAGCTTTAAGGTTTTATAGTACATAAGGAAAAGCCATGTCCGGGTGAGTTTTGGACTGTTTGTCCGGGTGACGTCGTATATTTGTGTCCGGGTAATTATTCACCTTTTCTGGTGCGCGCACCAGAAATCAGGTTATATGTCTACAGCATCTAAGGTTACTTTAGGTACTTCAATAGCTTTTGCTATTGGATCTTTTGTATTCATAAATTACTCCCAACAAACTGAAAGACAGAGTTTAAGAGAGGGTCCTATCAAAGACGCCATCAGAATCGAGGAAAAACGGAAAAAGTTGATGAGAAACAGTTTGGAACATCAGGAACAGAAACAATTGAAGGAACAAATGGAAAAAGTTCAACCTTTGACGGGGGAGATTATTACTGGTCCATTAGAGAAGTAAGAGAACAAGTAATTTGTCGAATTAATGATCAGGTCGACCTTAGGATTTTGGGTTCAGGTGTTTAACCCCATTGATCTTGGTCGATAACTCGGTCATTACTGCCATTGAACCTGTGATTGCCCTTATAACTGTGAGGGATTCTTTTCAGGTTCTTCGTGGTCACGTTAATTCACTTACCGTTCATCCTACCGTTCATCCTACCGCTCATCCACGTACCGCTCATCCACATTGTATATAGAGAAATGTATGTGTTCTTGGAGACACCAAAAGGTTTTAGATTCTCTTGATGTACTATGATGCACTTTTCTTTGTCTCCACTACGTCTTCCGTCCCGCTTCAAAAAACCAATCAAAACGACCAGTAAACTGATGAAGATATCTGATGATGTTCATCACGTCGAAACCTTAAGATGTGGTGGATGAAAACTTTTCGCGAGTGAGGATGAGTGGTATTTAAAGGTAGTGGAGTACTACCAATGGGTAACACCCATCGTGCTCCTAAGGTTGTAAGAGTGATAATAGAGCTCTGTAAGTCTGTAAGTAGGTGTGATAAAGACAGTAAATCTAGAACCAGACCTTGTCTTTTTTTTTTGTACCATTAATTGGACATAATTCCCAATTAGGAAATCTGTCTGAATTGTGAAAACCACAGAAAACGTTAAAAGAAAGATGTCGAAAAAGATGATTAAGAAAGTAAAAAGGCAGACAAGACCGCTTTAGAGTACCCCTAGAACCTAAAAGAGCTCATCCACTTGAGACCTTAATAGACCGCATCAGAGCATAAAAGAGTACTTCAGTCTACCCTAAAACCTCATAGACCTCCGAAGTACACCACCTTAGAGCTCACCATTTTTTCATTACCCATTATATTACCTATTTACCTATCTACACCTCCTTCTTTGTCGTGTCCACCGAGTCGGCCGCTGCTATTGTTGGCAACACCGCCTCCGCTTTGGGCTCCGATTTTGGTTCTTCCGTCGAACCAATCTTAGCCAGGGCCTCATGAACACTTACCTCAATATCTACCTTCTCTATGATAGAATTCGACCTCTTTATCGTTGGTGGGGAGTATCCTTCATCATCATTGAACACACTATTTCTTCTAGAAATATCTGGTAAATCATTCATCCCCACCAAAATGCTGGCTGCTTCAAGTAACTGCACCTGTTGATGCTTGGAGATCAATAATTTCTTGGTAACATTCCATTCAGGGGTATGTTCCCATAAATGCTTAGCTAAGGAAGATATATGCTTGTACCCTTTACCACAAGCTTCACATTTCAATTCTTCTTTCAATCGTCCAGTCTCACCTTCACTGATTCTTCTTACTACAAACTCTCGACTCAAAGTTGGTACATTCAAATCTCTCCACAGATCTCCCAACTCTCTGTCTAAGTTGTCTGAATCCAAAATCTCTTTACTGTCTTCTCGGTCCAAAATCTCCTTATTTTCTCTATCTTGGTGGAATATCGGGAACTTATGACTCCCATGGCCCTCCCTAATTGGTGGAGGGTCTATATACCCAGGTACCAGGTGATTACTGATATTGTGATGACGGGATACATAATGATGCTGATGCTTAGCAGGAATGGAGTACGGTGCACCCACGGAGTTTCTTCTTATATGGTTATAATTTCCTAGAGTCATTACCGCAGTGGTACGGTATTCTAGGGGCAGTTTTGTAGTATTTAGGGCTTGTATCACAAAGTAGATAAATCTGAAACACTTTTGCGGTTAAAAATTTTTTTCTGCAGAGATGGGATAGTCACGTGATATATTGAGATTATGAAGATAAGGCGATGGGGGCGTTGATGTGCGTGGAGGGATTGGGTGGGGGGAAGTATTGAATGGTGGTACCGTAGTGGGTACTGTGGAGTACACCAGTGAACCAGGGATTGTAGTTCTAGAACTCATGGATCTAAAATTCATCACTTTGTTCCATCTCTTCATCAACGCTAAATCCTTCTTCAGGTTGATACAATATCGACTGGATCTCCTTCAATACTTCAGTTACATCTATGGTTTCCCCCAGCTCTAATCTGGGAAGGGCATTGGTCACCAATAACTCTATCTCCCTTAATTTGGTGAAATAGAATTGTCTCTCCGCCGAAACTTCATCATTACTTTGTGTAACTGCTTGTAAACTACTGGTAAGGTCCAGGATTTGGGCCTCGTAGTCAGAACACTTCTTACATGGATCATTACTTAAGCGTGGTTTTCCACCAACACTAACACTGATAGGTTTTTTGACCGGAGTTGGTTTCACACCTGAACTAGCCGTACTACCAGCATCATAACTAGTACCACCAGTACCGGCAGACACTGATCTACCTTTTTTCTTCATCCTTCTACCTATAGCATCATAAGGTTGGTTCAAATCCTTATTTTCCATCCAATACTTCTTGAACCATTGTAAAAGTTCCAAATTATCCTGTAATCTGCACTTGGCCAACCTATTGACATCGATGTTCTTGGTGATTTTGTGTTTACTGAAGCCACTTTGAAGGACTTTCATGTTGTTTAGATACTCGTATTCTAATTTGGTGGTGAAGTTTACACGAGACATGGGAATGTCACCGTAAATTGAGTCGAGCAATTGACAGTAGGCAGCTCCACTACCACATTGTTCGACTTTGGTATAGTCCAAGTCGAGGGTAGCATTGAGCCATTGTAGAAGTTCTGATCTTGATTCACCAACCATACGCGTAGTTGAGGGAGATGTGCGACTGCGAATGTTAGTGCCATGGGTCGGGTGCAAGATGGGCCTAGGTATTCGCGGTGATTTGGGTCCACATCGCACCAGAGAAAATGAAGGGAGAATTTCAAACGCTCTATATCTAACACTAACTAAGGGGCTGGAGGAGCAGGTTTCTTACGAGCCCTTTGCGAGTCCACGAAAGTCTTGGATAACGTCTATTGAGTCCACAAAGCCTTCAACTCACGCCTTCTCGGTCCACAAATCAAAGTATAAATCTAATAAACATGACCCTGACCATGCTTGTGTAGGACTACTATCTCCACACAACTCTCCATCCTTATTAGTCAACTCCGTGAGCCCCGCCCACGGACTGTCCTTAATCCATTGAATATGGTACTGGATCTTATCGTTCAATTCCGTCAATAACTCAATACTCTGGCCACAATCTTTATCCCAGCAGTAGAACTTAGCAAAAGCTCTAAGGAAATATCCCATACACCAGCACCATTCAGGTCCTTGGTGGTAGTTTCTACCTTTGGAAGTAGCAAAATCATCACTATCGACGGAATTATGGTAGTATGGGCGATAATTCCAATCACTGGGGTCTAAAGTTCTCATCCCAATAGGTCCACGAATGATTTTATCGGCTTTCTCTAAAGCCAAGAACCCCTTAGACTTATCAAACAACTCGGGAGCTACTGTCATGGCAATGGCGAAGTTTGGTCTTAATTGATAATCCTCATACGGTTTACCAGCACGATAAAGATCTTTATAAATACCTCTTTGGTTAACAAGACTTGGATCAATATCGTACTGACCATCGTCTTCAGCTGATTCAGGGACATAGAAACATTTGTGGAAGTTCTCTTGAACTAATTTCTCCCAATCAACAAGACTGATGGTGGTACCGTCGTTCTTAGTGACTTCATGATACCCAAAATCTTTCAAACCATTAACAAATCTAAGAGCTGATTTCAATAAACCTTGAATTTCTACAGCTGCTCCATCCCTGGGAGTACCCGGATATCCCTTATTACCAGCTCGTTCACTCTCACCCATTTTATCCATCCATGTTCCACAATTGAATTGTTGACCACCAAAGATCAATCCTGTAGACCAGTCAACGTTAACTTCAACGTTGAACCCTTCATCTTTCATTTGGGAATCAAGGTTAGGCCCAGCGTTGGCTTCACGGTACTTAATACCACTAGCATGGCGAGCTAAGATCTCATAGATGATTTCTCTAATAGAACTTTCATAACTGAACGCTTCAGGATCATCATGAGGGATATAACGGTCGTCCAAGGGGAATCTTCTGGTGACTTTATCGTCCAAGATTTTCTCCCCATTAGGGACGTAATGGACGTATTCTTGAATGGCTTGAAGGAAAAACCACGCAGCATCACGAGCGTTATAACGAGGGTTTCTTCCAGCATCTAATAAGTTAGGAATCAATCCATGTTTCAACGTCTTAGCGAATCCAAGAATATGATTTCTGGCATCATCGTACCGTTCTGGTACGATTAAAAGTCCACGGAAGGAGATAAACACATCTCTTCCCCAACATCTCATATAATCATTGGAGAAATGAGGTAATCCTGCTGCCATACTAGGAACTTGTTCTTTAGGGAAAAGGGAAGTATTCTTCATCAAACCTGTCATTTGTACTGAAGTTAAAGCGAGACTTTGGATGAAATTGGTCGACCCTTGAACCTGAGTCCCTAATAACCTTAAACTTCTGAATCTACATGCTTGATAAGCTGTACCTATCACCAATGCAAAGAATCTCGGTCTAAGGAAATATGGAACCACTCTAATGGCATCAATACGAGATTTCAACCAGGTTTTGAATCTATCAAGTCCATTGGATTTATACTTTTCCAAACGATTGATTACATAATCCAACGCCCATTCTCCATCTCTAAGATGATTACTGATAGCATGAGCCAATCCATTTTCCCAAATAACCCCTTTTAACACCGAATTCCATCCTTCTAATCCTGCATATACAAGGGGACCATAACCAGGAACAGTATAAACTCCGTCAGAACCTCCACTAAAGTCACGTTCTTCAGCTTCACATCGGTACATCAAGGCGTTCAAATCGTAAAGATTAAGATCAATTGATTCTTCAATGGCTCCTTGTTTAACGAAATTATCAAGATTAATATCAACTCCAGGGATTTCAGTAGAATAAACAGCTATGGATCCTGGTACAAACAGATCAGGAACTCTAATGATGGACTCATTATCGATAAATTCTACGTCAGGCATTTCCAATTCCTTTAATTCCGTTGGGATGGCATTCAAATTATTTGGATCATCATAATAATCACCTGATCTATGCAAACTATAAGCGAACTCCTTCTTGACTTTGGTTCCACTAAGGATACATGGAGCGAGTACTTGATCAGGTTCATAAGCATTGAACTTACATCGAGCTATAAGGAACCATCCTTTAGCTGTACGGGCATTATACCGTTGAATGGTAATATACTGTCCATCATGATGAATATAAGTTTCATGATCTCTTAAGATATCTTCACTTTCTTCGGCGAGAAGGGTTCTGATATGATGAAGTTTCCTTTTGACTTCTCTGATACCTTCACCATAGGTGTATTGACGATGTTCTCCTACCACATCGAGTAATTTAGGGTAACCCTCATCATACCCAAAAACACTTCCAATGGCCGAAGAACAAAATGCCACTAATGCAGCATTAGGAAGAGTATCTTCCACAGTACGAAGTTGAGCAGGAGTTTCATTATCATGAGTACAATCCATGAATAATGCATGAGGTGCTTGACTAGTAAGAACTTTAGGTATGGGCAATTCTTTAGATTCCGGTTCTTTAGTGGCAGGATATGCATATTCATCTAATGGTAACCAATTATACGATCCAAGAGGTCTACCACCATGTTTGTGGACTAATCGTGATAATTCTTGAACATTCCAAGCTTGCATAGCTTCACGGATTAAACTGTTGATACCAAGACGTTCCACAAAGATCTTATCCATTTCTTCTGATCCACTGAATAATTCTGCTACGACGTATAAATCAGGGTTGACGTTTCTGGCAGCATCTAAAAGTTTCTCTCCCACATGTAAAGGAGTAGAATGACAATTATCGATTCTAAACCCATTAAATGCCTTAGCACACATTTCAGTATATTTGATCATTCTTTCCCATAAATAAGGTGAATCTTCAGGTCCTTTACCATACCTTAATTTGATACAATCTCCCCAAACGATCACTTCACGTCTAAGATAAGCCTTAGATTGAGAAGATGCAAAATCCACTAAGGGGTTTCCACCCCAAATCCATCCATTATTAGCAAGAGAATATTCTACACCATCTGTAGTGAATCGAGTGAAATAAGGTTCAGTTAAAGGAACTTTTTCAGTTACTTCACCCATCCGCGGACCTCCGCGGTCTAATCTTAAGTAGTTAATTCTGGAAGAAAGTTGCAGTTTGATGGTTTCAACATCTTGATCATATTCCTTATACAAATTGAGATTGATTTCATCAATAATAGCGGAAGCTTTATGATCTAAGACAGTAAATTCAACATCACCTAAATCTCCATTGAAAACTGATGCTAGAACTCCTAAAAATCGTCCACTATCCAAAGTGTTGGTGTACCTATCTTCCAACACAACAGTTTCATGAACATTACAAGTATCAAGTACGAATTTAGCCAATTGTTTTAAATTTGAAACATCAACATTTCCAGGAATAGCAATGGGCGAAATGTCGTGCGGCGCTTGGTGGAAGTCGCGGAGTTTTGCCAAAATGTCGGCCTTATTGAAAATATAAAATTGCCATAAGTTTAAAGGTGTAAGAACATGAGTTTCAATACCTTCCATGATACGTTTTAAGTCATCAGGAGTTTCAAGGGTGGTAGGATACCCAAGCTGTGCCAAGTTACGGGAAAATTTAAGTAACTCTGAGTCTAATTCTATGGCAGACCTTAAATTTGGTGCAGTTTCTTGATTATAACCTGCTTCAGGATGCTGACGAATCCATGAAGAATTGTTGGCAGTATGGTTCCATACGACATCGGTCAACGACATCAAATGATGTTTCTCCAACAAATCGTTCAAGAAACTCATGGCATCAGTGTCACCAAATAATTTGGGATCAAAGGATAATTGATCATAAATGGAATAAGGAGAATCTGATTCTCCACGATGTTGAAGAGGTGTGAAATGAATCATATTATACCCCTTATAACTGATTTCTTTGAAAATGCCATCCCAATTGGCCAAATCTCCACACCATTTGGAAACCAATGTCTGGATATTGATGGAATTGAATGGTACAAATTTGCTACCAACTCTCAAGTTAGGTGGCACGTTAATGTAGAATTCCTTGGTCTTAGCTGTAGTATCACCTTGTTCATATTGAATATAATAGCTGAAAACCCCTGGAGCATAGATCGGGACCTTGATAACAATGTCTTTGTCGAAGGAAGTCTCAATGGGGAATTGACCAAACTTAGACCGATCGAATTTGAAATCTGGACCTGTAACATTCAGGAAAAGAACCCCTTTCCTCGATACTTTGGAAGCAGCATTCATTACCATAGTTAACACAAAGATAGGGTCTCCTGGGTGATAATTAGAAGGTAACGGTACCAGGGGAAGGATGAGAACTCCGTTGTGGACTGCGGAGTTATTGATGGGTTCACCATCATTAGAAAGTCTAAGAAGAATGGTCTTGGAGTCCATTCTGATATTTTTGGCCGAATATTGCTTTTGCGGTTTTCAAGGGTGGTGGTGGTGAGCAAAGTGCGCGTCACGTGACTCGACTCCTTGTTGGGGGATTATAAGGTAAATATTAGGGATTAATGGAAGGTTAGGGGTATGGGGACAGGATATGGGGACAGAATGTAGCCAGTCAGAGGGTTTGGGGGAAGTTTTTCACATTTTCAAAGGATGAAAAAAAAGACTTCCCCACCAGGACTCGAACCTGGAATCTTGTGGTTCCTGCTACATCGTAGCCACACGCCTTAACCATTGGGCCATGAGGAACGAAGTCTTGCCGGTAAAGTGAGCTCATGGGCTATAAGGGAGTCAAAGAAAGTTTAACCCGTTTTTAAGGGATAACTGAAGGGTTTTGAAGGATTCAAAAGGTATAGGGAGTATTGTTAGCATGTTTCTGATATGTTTGACACGTCAGATCGCGAGAATCGCGACTTGAATGACCCATCCCACTACTAAGACCTTCAACTACATCTCAGTGCGAAGTTTTTACTAATGCCATCATCAGTGTCATCTTATGGGTCAAGTTCTCGACCTAAGAACCATTTATGTGACTTCCCAGGTTGTGACAAGGCTTATAGTAAACCATCACTACTAGAGCAACACAAAAGGACCCATACGGGGGAGAGACCATTCCAATGCACCGCCTGTGATAAAAGTTTCCTTAGAAAGTCTCATCTTCAAGCTCATGAAATCTCCCATCAAAACCCCGATTCCAAACCGTTCCATTGTTCTATATGCGGTAAAGGTGTCAATACCGCCCAACACTTGAAACGTCATGAGATAACCCACGAGAAATCGTTCAAATGTACTCATCCTGGTTGTGATGAGGCTTTCTACAAGCATCAAACCTTAAGACATCATGTACTTTCAGTCCACGAGAGAGCCCTTACGTGCCATAAGTGTAATAAGACTTTCACCAGACCTTACAGATTGGCTCAACATAACTTAAAGTACCATAGTGAAACTCCCACCTATCATTGTGACAGTAAAGGATGTTTCAAGAACTTCAAAACCTGGTCAGCCCTCCAACTTCATGTCAAGAATGATCATCCCAAGATAAGATGTAAGGTTTGTGGTAAAGGATGTGTGGGAACTCATGGATTGATGAGTCACATGATCACTCATGATGAAACCAAGAAGGTTAAACTATGGAATTGTGAATATTGTAATGGGAACTTCGTCAAAAAGTTGGAATTAATAGACCATTACAACCAATTCCATGATGGTAATGTTCCTGAAGATATAGTGAAGCCAGAAGTAGGCGAGACTGTTGAAAAAGTAGAATTTAAGATGTTTGATCAACCAGAAGAAGTGGTTGAGGATATTGAGGTCAATTCCAATGTAGCTCAATCCTTAAAGTCTTTGAATGAGGCCCTAGATCTGGGGAAAAGTATCTTCGATATTCTTCTGGGTGACACAAAGACTATCCCTTGTCCTGTGAAATCATGTGATAGGAAGTTTACTAGAGATCATAACTTGAAATTACATCTTAAGACCCATCAGGAGACTTATAGGAAAGTTCTGGACTTCTTGGCTACTTTAAACGATAATGATAACGATAATGATAACGATAACGATTATAAGGGAGAAGAAGAGATTAATCAGATGATAGATAAAGAACTAAATAGTTATAATGTATATTAATATCTACGACGTTTGGCATCATTAGAATTATCGGTGGGGTTTTTTCTTTTGGTTGGACCTCCAGGTGGGGGAGGAGGTGGGGGACCACGAGATTTTGGTTGTGATCGGTCAAAAGTTCGAGGTGGGGGGTTTCTAGGACCAGCAGGGGCTCGAGAAGCAGGGGCTTTAGGACCAGAAGGAGCTTTAGGACCAGCAGGGGCACGAGGACCTGAGGGGGTGGTAGGTCTTGAGTTTGGACCTGAAGGAGGTCTTGAAGGAGCACTGGGACCCCTTGGTGGACCACGAGGTGCTGATCTTGGACCTGAAGGTGCTGGGCCTGGAGGTGGGTTGGAAGGACCTGAAGGACGAGAACGAGCTCCATTATTACGAGGACCCGGATTACGATTGTAGTTACCGTTATATCCACGATAGTTTGTGTTTTGACCATAGTAGTTGGAATCGTAGAACTTACGTCCTGTAGTGGAAGCTTGAGGTTTCAAAGGACCGCCACGTTTTATAGAAGATTCTGGAGCAGGTTTTTCCACGGGTTCTGGTTGTTTTTCTTGGACAGGTTCTATTTGTTCTGGTTCTATTTGTTCTTCTTGTTCTGGATCTTTTTGTTCTTCTTGTTCTTCCTGTGGTTGTGGGGTGACTTCTGGTTCAGTTTCACTTTGAGGTTCAGCATCTTCTTGAGGTTCATTAAGTTCAGCAGGTTCAACAGACTCGGGTACCTCAGGTACCTCAGCAGTGTCAGCAGCCTCATCTACAACAGCATCACCTTCAGTCTCAATATCACCTTCAACATCAGCCTCAACCTCAACCTCAGGCTCTTCACCAGCATCCACTTCCATATCCTCCACTTTATCCTCCACTTCATCCCCCACGTCAGGAGTCTCCGAACTCTCTCTATCTTGATACTCTGAATACTTGTCATATCTGTTCTTAGACCCAGTATCCCTACTTCCACGAGCACCAACCACATTAGAATAATAATCTAACGTTTGTTTGAGTCTTTCCTTATCTTCCTTTTCTTTCTCCACTTTCTTTCTTTCTTCCTCTTCTTTAGCTTTCTTCTCAGCTTCAACTCTCTTCTTCTCATCTCTTCCAGCTTTATGTTTCTCAAGAGCTTCTTCATCCATATCTATGAACTCCCAAAGTGGCAACCATGACTTGGAACGGGATTTCAAATGTCCCACTAAGGCACTAGCAGCCAATTTCAAGTCATCACGGGTCTCTGTATCAATGATATTAGTTATTAATGATGCTAACACTTCACATTGATCTTCTACTACTGGATAAAGACCAATTATGTTCTTCAAGAAGGTGATAGAGTTTCTTCTACTCATATAATCAACAGATTCAAGATTCTTGGTAAGTTTCTCAAGAATACATTGATGATAATTGTAAACTTTGGTCTTGAATTCGGAAAAGCCTATCCCCAAATTATCATTATAATCATGGGTCCATGAACTTAAGGTAGTTAAAAGTTCAGCGAAAAAAAGTCCGAAATTTTCTGCCTCCAAAGGCGTGGAGGTAAATATAGTACCCCCCACGATAGATCCATTGATCAAAATATCTAAGATTTTGAATAATGAAAACCCAGTAACGTTGGAATTGACTAACGTTACTAAGAACTTGGCTGAGTATACTGCATCAAAGGAAGAATGAATTGATCGTGGTAAAATACATGCTTCAAGGAATTTACCTTCATTATCATTGAACCAATTGGAGGCAGTGAAAAGTTTGAAAACTTCTTGATGATGTTCATAATGAACTTTTTTATCTTCTGAAATATTTGACTCCATGGTTTCGGCAGCAACCAAATCATCATGTAATTTGTCCAACACATGAACAGGTTTATACTTTTTACTTTTGGATTCCGTTCTCAACAGGTTCACTGTATCCTTTGCTTTCTTAGCTGCCTCTTCATAAAACAGTTCCTGATAGTTGATGTCGTACAATCCTAATTTCCAGAACAGAGTGAATAAGTCACCTGATAAGTCTGAAGGAGCTAATTGGGAAATCTCGGACATTTCCGTTTTGGGTAAGTACCGTCTCCAGATTTGAAACCCCCATTCAATAGGAACTTTATACTGACTAACAAGCTGAGGAAGGGCCATAAGATGAGGTTGGTCCCCATCGGAAAAGAACAGAATCAATTCCACATACAACTGAATGACATTGGTGATATCGTCTTTCCTATTGGTCAAAATCTTCAAATGAGAATCTTCAACATAATCTGAAGCATCATTTACTTGACACAAAAGCACTAAAAGTTCATTAACACAATCAAGATCAAGTAAATTTTTCACTAGCACTTTCCCCGACTTGACTCGGTCGAATCTGGTATCGTTGATGGTATGGAAAACCAACTTTCTGATGGAATCTCCACTATTAAGTTTATAAATTTGATCTAGGGCGAGATTCAGAATGGCTTGAATACCTCCCATAGCCATAAGCATCTCTTTTAATACAATAAGTCCCGCGGTATCATTGGCATGGAATGATTTCAATAAGAAGTCAAGTAAAGTAGCAATATCTATAGCATTGGGGTACCGTTGACAGATCTTACCGATGAATGAAGCCAAAGATTGGATCCATTGACGTTCAAAAAGCCCACTTTCTTGAACGTTCGACCTACCTGGGGCAGTGAGCCTGATCATTATAGCGAGAGTAAGAACATCCCAACCATAGTCATTGAAATAACGAGCAGTTTCCACCACTAAAGTATTCAAATTATCATAACTTTCTATCTGTTGAAGTACCGTAAGGAAGCAAGGTAGTGGATTAGAGTAACTGATCTTAGCGATACGTCTCATCATAGGTCTAACGGTCTCCTTAGACAATCTTTTTAATACATTCTTAGTAGATTTCTCCGCCTTACCATAAGCAATCTTGATAAGAGGATTGGACTTAGACAACACTTGATGGAGTTCACTATAAAGATTGAAACGAGTTTCTTTGGGGTAAAAGGAAAGGATTTTGAATGCTTTATCGACAATTAACGTGTTTTCTTCAACCATGGAGATGGCCGGGAAGATATAGTTCCTGTAATAAACGTACCATTGATCTTTCACGGTATCTTCAGCATTTATGAGACTATTAGCACCAATGTCACAAATTTTTGCATACAACGAAACATCTTTGGCGATATAAACATCAACAAATTTGAGAAATTCTCTATGGATACGGAAAAGATCATCAATGGTGGTAATTACTGGTAAACCTTGGGTCCATGCATCGTAGAAGAATATAAACTTCTTCTGACTAAAGCTCTGAATGGTTGCTTTGAAGCTAAGTAAAGTGGTTTGTTCAAAATCTTTACCATAAACCTCATTACCCCCACGACTGTGGAGGAGTTTTTTGGACGTCAGTAAATGGGATAAATCATTGGAGTCCAAGGATGAAAGTTGGTTATACAATGGGGAGATCATGTGGTGAGTTAGACGGAACATCAATTCTCGAGTTTCTGCATCTATCTTGGCCATGAAGGGGTATTCGGTCAAGATATAGATTGATGGCCAGTATAAACCTATACTTAAAAACAGACGAAGCATTTGGAACTTCATGTTTCCGTTGATTTGAACATCCAATGGTTGTTCTACAGCCTCTTGGGCCTTGGTAGACGTTTTGGTGGTGGTGGAGTCATCATCATCGTCCAATAACGGTGCGGCTAAAGCCAAAGCACTAGCAGTTGATTGGAAAACCTCATCATCAAGCTTCTTTTTGTACAACTGTTCTAGCTTAGGCATAGCTTCATCACCTAGCAAGAACTTATAGACGACAGCGAAATTCAATAAACCTTCTTTGATCAATACTGAAACAAGTAATTTCAATGTTTCCGGTAAAACTTTATCTTCACCATATCGAGCGAGCTTAAACCCCACGAGTTTAGACAATTCATGGTCTCCACCTTCGTGGAGGGATAACATGGAGGCATTAGAAGCAGGTTTTTGTGGCCACCAAGGTGATTTTTTGAAGAAATCAATGACAAATGTTTGATTCCCCACAAAATTGTTAGCAAATATGTCCACCAACACATCAAATACTTTATTAGGGTCAAGTCCATAATGACCCATTAAGCTTTGGACCATTTTTATGGCGAACTCCACCTGGAATTCACTATTTTCACTTCGTAACACGCCATTAACTTCAGCAATGAGTCGACAGAACCCTTCTACTTCCTCATGGACCAAGTTGAACTTCTTCTGGGTATAATATTCGTCTCGTTTACGTCCAGCGAGCTGACGGTTGGATGATTCGGGGATTAAGCCTAATGACAATAAGGTATCGAACTTGATCGTACGTGATAACGTGGATATTTTGATGACTTTGGACTGTTGGACCAAATTAGTGATAAGCTCCTTGACCGGAGTCGATAACGGGAACACATTTAGTACCAGACAGAAGATTTCAGCGGTGGTTTCTTGTTTTATAGCTTGGGACAAAAACTGAAAAATTGAATCTTGGGGGAGATTTCCATCTTCAAACACCATGAGGAGTTCGGTGAAGATCATGGCCGTGGCATTGGCATCGCCAGAATCTATCACTTGGATAAGATTCTCCGTTCCAGTGTCTTGGAACTGGTTCAAGACGTCTTCTGTTAAGTATGTGTAGATGTCCATAAAGAACTTAAAAGCGCGAAATTGAATTTGGGGCCAGAGGTTGGGGCCACTAGGGCCAACCAGTGGACCTATAAGTAGGGCCATGGTGGTAGAAAGTGCGGAAAAAGAGATAAAATAGGTCGATTGTCGCGCTAGAGATTTATGCAAATTCAACTACACTGGGACTACTACCAACAATACCGTCAATTGACTCTTTTACATCCTGACCTAAAACCTTAACACTGAAATTACCGGGGGCATCGATAGAATATCCACTGGCGGTCAGAGTTACCGTAACAGTGGCTACAATCTTACCTGAAGTGTCTGGAATGTCAACTGATTTTGTACCTTCAACAGCATAGATGTTCACTATGTAATCTTTGTGGTAATCGTACACTGGGGTAGAAGTATCGGTGGTACTACTAATGAACACGGAGTTGGGTCTAACAAGTAATGGTAAGGATTTGAAGTCATGAACCTCATCAAACCATTCTCCTTTACCTTGACTGTCTCTGACTTTACCGTCTAAAAGGCCGTACCATTTCCCCTTAGGTAAGTAGAAGGAAACATCACCTTCGGCGGAAAATACCGGGGCCACCATTAAACAATCACCCAACATGAATTGTCCATCACAAGTTTGAGCGATCTTATCATCGGGGAATTCGAGGACCATTGGTCTCATGACAGGCGTAGCACTACGACTAGCTTCTACAGCAGCACCAAAAATGTATGGCATCAACGATAACTTCAATTTGGTGAATTTTTGTAACACTACCGAACTTTCATCGTCAAAATTCCATGGTACACGGTACGAATGAGACCCATGTAATCTTGAATGGGAAGATAAGAGACCGAATGCACACCATCTTTTATAAACCGCAGGATGAGGGGACCCTTCAAAACCACCGATGTCATGTGACCAGAATCCAAATCCACAAAGACTAAGACTTAAACCTCCACGTAAAGATTCTGCCATAGCTTCAAAAGTGGATTCACAATCACCACCCCAATGAACAGGGAATTTTTGACCTCCGGCAGTGGTGGACCTAGCAAAAAGACATGCTTCGTCCTCACCTTTCTTTTCTTGTAATACCTCAAATACACATTTGTTGTATAAGTAAGTGTAGTAATTGTGCATGCCAACGGGGTTAGTACCGTCGTGGTAAGTTACGTCCCTAGAAGGAATTCTTTCCCCGAAATCTGTCTTGAAACAATCAACTCCCAAATCCACAAGTTGAGCTAACTTGCTCTGGAACCATTTATATGCTTCTGGGTTAGTGAAGTCAATAATACCCATGCCTCCTTGCCATAAATCACACTGGTACGAAGCTCCGTCGGATTTCTTGATGAAATACCCTTGGGAATCACATTCATCGAATAAGTCGGACTCTTGGCCGATGTAACTGTTGATCCATACACAAATTTTTACACCGAAGTTGGTCTTAAGGTCCCCCAACATCTTCTTAGCATCAGGGAAGTACTTGGGGTCGAACTTAAAGTCACACCATTGGAACCCTTTCATCCAGAAACAGTCAAAATGGAAAACGGTCAAAGGAATGTCTCTAGATTTCATCCCCGTGATGAATTTACTGACGGTATCGTAGTCATAATCAGTAAGGAAAGATGTTGAGAGCCATAAACCAAAAGTCCATGCTGGTGGGAGGGCTGGAAGACCGGTCAATGAAGCATATTTAGCGAGAATCTCTTTAGGAGTGGGCCCATAGATCAAATAAAGTCTCATTCCTTGTCCCATAACCACAATATTAACTCTATTTGTACACTCATTTTGTAAATCAAATGAAACGTTGGATGTTGAATCCACAAAAACCCCATATCCGCGATTAGACATATAAAATGGGACATTCTTATAAGTAACGTTACTGGCAGTACCACCATCTTCGTTCCACATCTCAATATGTTGACCATTCTTAACAAAAGCTCCGTACCTTTCACCCAAACCGTAGAGTTTCTCCCCCACCGATAAGTGTAATTGCATGGTGACATAGTCCTGATGAGTATGGCCGGTTAACCCTGGTTTGGGGAATCGGGAATCTTCCACGTACCCCACAGATCTGAAACCAAGCTTGGTCAAGGGTTTATCGCCAGAAAATTCCATACCAAAGAACTTTTCATCGATTTTGGCTGATAAATTACCGGATTTTACCGTATACCCAGTGGCAGAAGCTTCATTAGTGGCAGCAGTACCAGTCACAGCTTCAACAGTAGCAGTAGCAGGTGTGGTATTAACTTCGAACCGGGGTTCTTTAGCATGATTATAAGCGGATTTGTCATGATAAGCTTCTAACTTAACAATATCATCACCAGCTCCCAGTAATCTGGTGGTAATGATCCCATTATTTAAAGTATCACCACGATGATTGATGGGTTTTGTACTGTACACCGAGTAAAGTTCATTTTCTTTAACTACCGATTTAACATTTTCTGTTGCCCAACGGACTTTGATGCCTTGTTTCAATTCCCACCGTCCTCTGGTGAAGATGGTGTCAGAATCTACGTGTCTATCTACACTGAAATGATCAGAACTCATTAATGATGGTGGGGGAGATTACTCCAGATTTATATCTACCCCACGACATCAACGGTTGGGACGCGACATGTGATTTGGTGGGGGAATGATGAAAAGTGGTTTTGGCTTTGGGGTGATTGATGGAGACAATTGATTGGTTCAATGAGTAGTTACCCCCAACCATCCTCCACGTTTACCTTATGACGTTCCTAAGTTATGTGGGGGATGAAGGATTTACGTTAAACAATTGGTTATCGTGCTTACGTAAAAATTCCGATACTCTTTACGAGATTTGTATAGCTATAGGATGAAAGGGCGGATTTGGGTGAATGGGAGGATGAAAAAGCAGGAGATTGTAGCAGAGGCAATGTGGATGGGCAAGGTGAAAGGGTGTGAAAGGCTAACGTCTAAAGAAAAGACCAAAGGATAATATCAAAAGAAAAGATCAAGAGGTAAAAATACGTGGAAAGAAAGCGGAATCGAATACCTGTTGTGGAGGATGCATTTGGTGGAGGAGCTTCGTGGAGGTAATGCATGAGATATAATAGACTATGGGGTAATTCTGGGGTTTTACGAGTCAACTATAAATGCCCCGGATTCCTAAGTAAAAGCCTCATGACCAGTGAACATAAACTTCAAGTCGATCATATCGACAAGCCAGAAGTAGTACATGATGATGTACAATCAGATGCTTCTTCTATCAAAGATGACGTAGCTAAAGTGATTTTGCAAGATGCTAAAGATGCAAGTAAGGATGAACACGAGACAAGTTTCCGTGAAGCACTTAAACTTCATAAGAAAGCTGTTTTTTGGGCCGTGGTTATGTCATTAACTATTGTTATGGAGGTATGTAAGCTGTTGGAATGGGGTGTTTTCAAAGATTTCACTTGGAAAATCTATAAAACCCTTAACTTCATTGCCCCACCGGGCACATAATGCCCATCGGGCAGTTTCACCAAAAAGGAGAATACTAACAATTTATAGGGATATGACAACATTTTAATGTCTTCGTTCTTTGGATACCCCAGTTTCCAACAAAAGTACGGAGAATTAACTGCTGAAGGGACTTATGAACTCGCAGGACGTTGGCAAAGTGCTTTGGGAGCAGCCTCATCTTGTGGGCTTATTATTGGGAATTTCATGAATGGTTACTTGACAGAAAAGTTCGGCCATAGAATGGTGATTCTTGTAAGTTTGGTGGTAATGTCAGCTTTCATTTTCATTACCTTCTTTGCTAAAAATGTCGAAACTTTGGTTATTGGACAAGTTTTCTGTGGTATTCCTTGGGGTGTCTTCTCCACTATGGGACCTTCTTACAGTTCGGAAGTATTACCTCTTCATCTTAGAGGTTATTTGACTGCTTATGTTAACTGTTGTTGGGCCATGGGTCAATTTGTGGCTGCTGGGGTTTTAAGAGGACTTGTCTCCAATACCTCCGAATGGGGTTATAGAATCCCATTTGCTATTCAATGGGCTTGGCCAGTACCTCTTTTCCTCCTTACATTATTCGCCCCAGATTCTCCCTGGTGGCTTGTACGTAAAGGACGTCATGAAGATGCCATCAAATCAGTCAAACGTTTAACTGATGGATCTACTCATTTCAAAGCTCATCAACAAGTAGCTTTGATGATTCATACCAATGAAATGGAAAGAGAAAAGGAAAAGGCTGAAAACAAAGGTGTTAGATCATACCTCGAATGTTTCCGTGGACCTAACTTAAGACGTACTGAAATTAGTTCTATAGTATTTGCCGGCCAAACTTTACTGGGGACTGCTATTGCTTATAGTCCAAGTTATTTCTTCCGTCAAGCTGGTCTTAATCCTAGTGACACTTATAAGCTTAATTTGGGGGTCACTGCCATTGCGTTTACTGGGACTGTTTGTTCATGGTTCCTTATCAATCGTTTGGGACGTAGAACAATCTATGTGGGAGGTTATGCTGTATTGACATTGATCTTGTTACTTATAGGGATCTTGGCCGCTCCAGCAGAGCTGAATTCCAACGTCAAATGGGGTCAATCGGCGTTATGTCTTATTTGGGTAGCTACCTATGCCTTAACTATTGGTCCGTTGGCTTTCACTATCACTTCAGAGATGAGTGCCACTAGATTGAGGATCCAGACCATTTCTATTGCTAGAAATACGTATAATTTGGTACAATTGATCAGTCATATTGTGGAACCTTACTTGATTAATCCTACTGAAGCTAATTTGAAGGGTAAAACGGCTTTAGTATGGTTTGGTACAGCCTTCCCTACGTTGGTGTGGAGTTATTTCAGACTTCCTGAGACCAAGGGAAGAACTTATGATGAATTGGATGTGTTGTTTGAGAAGAGAGTTAGTGCTAGGAAATTTGGTGGGTATGAATTGGATAAGGAGGATGAGATTTAGGACACCACCGGTACCTACTAACCATCTACACCACCAATAGCCTACAACGTTACCACCACCTCATCTATCATGTAGAGTATCCCATAGTGAATATATTTCTAATAAATAAGCCGGTGTTTCACCGGCATTCAATCTCACAAGCCCCACCAGTGTGGCCAGTTCACCTGTAGTTGGTGTAAGTTCACCTGTAGTTGGTGTAAGTTCAGCCAATGGTTGGTGCCAGGACCTCCACACTACCCGGCTCAATTGATCTTACTGAAAAAATCATTATTGTACCCTGTTACCAATATTCCTACCTTTTCACTAACATCTCCATACCATCCGTCTAATAAATCCACAAACAGAAATCCCATCATAACTAAATTCATCGCATAGTACAATAACGTATCAAACCCATCGACTACCAACGACCCTACATAGTTAATATATGCCATTAACGTACCAAAAACGCAAGCCACCATATGACTAACGGCTAGGTAATAGGATGTGATGATGGATCGCACAAAATCAACTAAAAAAACCATTGTATTTGTGTCGAATAGAACTGTATTTGTGGTTTAAGTGTACTCTATTATATCTGATTTACTTATGTAAACTTCAAATCTTGTTGTTTGTGTTTTTAATCTTTTTGTGACTTATCTCCAAAATTTACTGACATCTCCACATTTAAATTTCATAGTGCAATTCTAGAAACGGATCAATTTCACGTTCTCCGAAGTCTAAATAAAAGCAACTGAAACCATCAGATCTATTTATGTACACTATTCATATCAGCCTACTTCCACATGCTTCCCCGTACCTGTCAGAGTTCATTTCTTAGACATTGTAAAAAAATCACATGAATCCCAAATAGGAAGCGATGATCTTTTTTTTTCCCTTTCATTTGTGTCATTAACTCCAACCAAATTTCTTTTTGACGTAACAATCCACAAACACAAATTGAATTTTTTTTTTAGATCCACAAAACCAACTTTTTCAAAAGAATATGTCACAAAATCCTGTAGAATCTAGAGATACCAATGACCATAATCAAGCAGAACTCAATGATCTCATAAAACAACTTAAAACTCAAGTCAATCCACAAAACAATCCCACCATAAATAACTATTTTGAAACTTCCCTTCAATACTTAAACGGGATTTATGATAAAATGGCCAAAAGTGAAGACCAAGATAAGACGGCGCATGAGATTTCTGAAGATTTGGTGGGCAAGTTGACCAACTGGGGTGCGGAATTAAAACAAAAGGAAGAACTTAAGGAACTGAAAGATAAGAAAGATGAAGTTTAGTTTGTTACTTTGTTTATTAATGGTCAGGGGACAAAAGGTGATGGACATGGGACTGGGAGTTGGGTTGGATTTAGGGGCAATTGGGCTGGAAAGTGGGTCAGTACCTGATTCAGTACCAGTGCTTGACCTTGAACACAATAAGTTTGCTCAACAAGACTATTGGGTCAATCAAAAGTCTCTCATTGACTTCCATAAACTGTTGGTCGATATTAATTCCATTTCCCGTCATGAATATGAAGTAGCTATGGTATTAAAATCTTTCCTTGAAGACCAAGGGTTGACTGTCGAGTTACAACAAGTCGGTAATAACCGTTACAATGTGTTTAGTTACATCAAAACTCCTAGTAGTAAAGTTCTTTTAACTAGTCATATCGATACTGTGCCTCCCTATATTCCTTACTCCGTTGATGGTACTAAGATTTATGGTAGAGGTACTTGTGATGCTAAAGGAAGTGTTGCTAGTCAAGTGTTTAGTTTCCTTTCACTTTGGAATAGAGGGTTAATTAAGGATGGTGATGTATCAATGCTTTTTGTGGTTGGTGAAGAAATCAATGGAGATGGTATGAAAGTTGCCAACGATCAATTTAACAATACTTCTTTCGAGGTAGGAATCTTTGGTGAACCAACGGAATTAAAGTTAGGTGTTGGACATAAAGGAATTTTCTTAATGACCATACAAGTTGATGGAAAAGCTTCACATTCAGGATACCCAGAATTAGGAATTTCAGCTAGTGAGATAATGATCCCAGTATTGAATGATTTATTAGCATTAGACTTACCTCATGATGATTTATTGGGTCCAACAACAATGAATGTTGGGAAAGTTGATATCGGAGTGGCAGCTAACGTGGTACCAGCTTCAGCTAACGCCTCAATTTCTATCAGAATATCAGCAGATTTACCTAAAGTGGTGGAGATGGTCAAGGAAAAAGTAGACGGAGTTGAACATTTGACTTATGAAATAGAAGCCACCATTCCACCAGTTTACCTTGATTATAAAGTGGAAGGATTTGAAAGTATTGTTTTAGCATATGCTACTGATGTACCCAATTTCCATAAATCATTGAAAAAAAGATATCTTTATGGTCCTGGATCGATTCATGTTGCTCATGGTGATAATGAGTTTGTTGAAAGAGGCGATTTAGTAGCAGCTGTTAGTGGATACAATAAGTTGATCATGGAATCAGTGAAAAATTAACCATGTGTCCATAAGGAATGTTTAGAGAATACATAACCGCTTAAGATTCCACAAAAGGAAGAAAAGTCTATTCACATAAACGTAACCGCTCAAGATTCCACAAAAGGAAGAGAATTGTTTCCACAAAAACGTATTCGCTTAAATCCACAAAAGGAAGAAACCTCTGTCCACAAAAACTTAACTGACCACAAAAGCTTAACCGCTCTAAAACCACAAACACAGAAAAAAAAAAACTCTACAAAACTCTATAAAATGAATGTTTACATATTTCTATATCTAATACAAGTAGAATGCTTATAGTAGACTCAAACAATGTACGTTAATCTAGGCAATGTGTGAAGCAAATGTTACAATGGTAGTAAATCTGTCAAAATAATGCCAAAAAAAAGACACCCGATGGTATAGTACCAATGGTTACCTTACTGAGCATAGAACTAAGGGTATTCCTTAGGCATATTCTCAGTAATGTACTGTGGAACCAAACAACCTATCTCATCTCTTCCAGTACCAACAGAATTCGACAAATCAACGATATTGAAGAATCTAAAAGTACTGGTACCATAAAGACATCACTGGGATACCAATGGCTCTGTTTAATACCAACTCCGACCATTGGTGGCGGTATTAAACGTCCAAGAAGTTTAGTCCATCAGCGATGGAGATGGCGATGGCAGAAAATTTTCACGCATCATGGAACCAGCCTGGAAGAAACTCGGGTTAAAAGTCCTGGAATCCCAAGATGAAGGTATCAAACATATCGATAGTCATACCACCAAGAAACGTCCAGCACCCACCAACAAAGGCCCTAAACCTCCTAAAAGAGTGAAACTTCCTAAAGATCAAAAACCTCCACCGCCTATTAACGATGGATGGACCTATGTAAAGCAATTCTACCACAAAGATAACTGGAAATTCTCCAAACAGAAACAGAACTGGGTATTGAAGAACATGAAGCTGTGCCCTGAAGAGTACCAGGAGTATTTAGTGGAGTATGTTAGTACCATTCAAGGAGGAGGTAGAGACAGATTAGTGAAGGAGTTTGAAGAAGTAGTAAGGAAGTGGGACCAGATGATGAAGGAGGTCGAGGAAAGGATGGAGAAGAAGTTAAAGGGGGAGGAAGTTGAGGGAGAGGTCGAGGAGATGGACCAGACGTATGTTGAGTTGGTGAAGAGGGTGCTCATCAAGATGGGTGTTAGAAGTGAAGGTGATAGCCTGAAGGAAGCTGACGAGTCTGAGGAAGTTAGTGAGACCAAGGAGGCCAGCCAGACCAAGGAAGTCAGTAAGGCTGCCGCTGATAAGAAGAAAGATAGCGCTAAAGCCAGTAAGGCTAAAGATAGCTCAGAAAGTGATAGCTCAGAAAGTGATAGCTCAGATAGCGATAGCTCAGATAGTGATAGCTCAGACAGTGATAGTGGTAGTGACAGTGATGAAAGTACCAGCGATAGTGACAGCGACAGTGACAGTGACAGTGATAGCGATAGTGACAGTGATAGCGACAGTGACAGTGATAGCGACAGTTCCAGCTCCAGCTCCAGTTCCAGCGACACCTCTGGCACTACTCGCGCGACTTCTCGAATCGTCGACACCATCAACATATGAACGACTTCAAAATCATCACTGATAAAGCCCTAGATGTAGACCCAGACCTCAGGTTTATGGCCCTAGAAGACTTCACAAAGCTCCTCACCACATCAAATCAACCACAAATTCAATCATTTATAGATATTTTATTCAAACTCCTTAACGATCCCAATAACGATGTTAAGTCTAAAACCATTAAAGTCTTCCCCCTAATTCTTCCCTACATTTCCCCCGCCAGCGTCATGAAAGTTATGACCCAATTGTACCATAATACACAAAAACATGATACACAAAAACTCGATGATATTTCCCTTATGGTATGGAAATTGATGATAAATAGTGATTTTACCTTCCTGGAAAAACTAGTTAGGTCCATTATCGACCTAATCTTACCCCTGCTTGATGGGGAGGTCGGTAGCTATGATCTTGAGGTATTAATGGAAGTATTAAAGAAATTTGATGGGTTAACCCTGGGTGAATGGTTGAAAATCGCCAATATTCTCGTCCAATTGTCATTTAAAGCCAATTCTTTGACCAAGAAAGCCGTCTATTGCTTTGACTTGTTGATGTCGTCCCACCAGCTCGACCTCCAAGCATTGGAAAGTTTACTTTTATGTATAAATTTGAATTTTGAACACAAGTCACGTGACTTTGCCAGTAAAAATAATCGATTAGTACTTTTAGCCATGATGGTAAAGAAGGCAAGGTTCCAATACCCACCGGACGAGTTCTATGGGTTAGTTGACGAGTTCTTGAACGAAGATTTGGATATTGAGGATTTAGACTATGATTTAGTTACTGAAGATAACCTTAATAAGGAACTCTGCTTAGATATAGTGACGCTGTTAGTGGACAATAGCTATGTCCACCCACAAATTACTGCCATCATCGGTAAATTCTTGACCTACAGTCCTATCGAACAAGAACCTGAGAGTGAGAGTGAGTTTGAAGACATGGAATTTAGTGATGAAATGGAAGAAATTGATGACGGATCGTGGAAATTGCGGTACAAGACAGTTGTACTTATTGATCGGTTGAAAGATTCGACGTATTTGCCACGATTAATCCAATTAAATGATACCAATCCCATCATTTTCAAGCAATGTCTCACCACCATTGGCAATTTGATGGGCCCACAGGACATAGATTTAGTCCCATCCATCGAACAAAAGATCCTTGCCCATTTAAACGGGGATTTCTTTGTATATCTTCCATTATTGATGAAGTTATTGACGATTTCCACGGTATCTCCATCATTTCTCAAGCAATTCTTGGGAAGTTTGGGGGAAAAACATTTTGAAATGGTAGAAATTTTGAATTTGGTCCATGAAGTGGTGGCTAAGGGCGTAGATAAGGAGATCAAGGACGATTTGGTGGTAAAATTGTGCTTAAATGTGAAAAATAACGCCAATGTCGTAGTAAGTTTGAAGATCTTAAACTTATTGATGGACTCCGCCAGCCCCGAAGTGTTTACTACGTTAGTAGACAAGTTAAGGGATAAAACGGTGATCGTGGAAGTAAAACAAGAATTAGTAGGGAGCTTGACGGAGTATATGGTGGTGAATGGAGTGAATTGGCAAGTTGTAGGGGAAGTCTTTGGAGACCAAATGAACGAGATGATGATTGGTGGGGTTTTAGGAGGGTTATGTAAACTTGCGGCTGATGGGAGAGGCGCCAAAGGTACTGATACTACCACAGGCGGTGACACAGGGCTCTCCAGCTTAGTGGAAAGACTCCTCCCATTCCTACAATCTCATGATAAACCCCTTATCTCCCTCATCATCACATTCTTCTCCTCTATCAACTATCACATGGATGTTGCTCAACTTCTCGCCTTACCTACCGACTTAGACCTCAGTAAGTCCATCCTTCATTACTTATCCCACTATACTTTCGACCCACCCACCATAAATGCCTTCATAACTGTGGTCAATTCCATGGACTACGACATTAACCAACTCCCTGAGGTGGAATTGAAGGAAGTTGTTACACAAATCTGTCAACAAGGTGATTTCTACCTCCAGTTCAAGGCCGATTTGAATCCATCTCCGGTCACCAGTAAGATCTTGGCTATGGTATTAACCCAAAGGAACAAGTCAGAGGAAATCGCCAACTTGGAGAACCAAGTCAACGGAACGCTTGAACGGAATCAAGTAGACCGAGACTTTGTGACATTACTCGAAATTTTGGGATTTGTGGAAGGCCATGATAGTAAGGTTAAATTTGAAGGGTTGATAGGATTGTTGAACGATGGTAGCACCACCACCAGCGCCACCACCGCTAATGACGACTTAAAATACCAAATAGCTAAAACTTTAGGTTACTTGATCAACGGGGCTGATTTAATCCAGGCTTTTAAAACCCATCAAGGACTTAAACCCTATTTGTTAGTGAGTATTAGGTCGTTCGTAGGAAGATATCGCGATAGAGGGTTCGAGGTGAAGATGTGGGAGATGTTATTTGACGACATTAACGTAGATAAAGTAAAGAAAGAGTTTAACTTGGTAGGAGAGATTTTACTGATGATGATCAGAGATGGTGAATTTTTGAAAGAATTTGAAGTAATGGTGAAAGTGTCCGTTCCAGGAGCTGGCGCAGGCAAGGGAGCTAGTACCGGTGCCGGTGCTACCGATAATACAGAAGAAAACTCTGAGTCGGGAACTACCGGTATTGGACTCTGTTATATTCTCCTTATCATCACCAACTTCCTCATTAAGAAACTCCCTCCGCAAGACTTAGGCTTCTTCTTCAACACCTTATCCTTCCAATCCATCATCAACATCGATATCAAACTCATGGTCATCAAGAACCTCATCACTCTCTTCCATACCCACCCCCAATTGTTCCAACAAGTGGACTTACAAGCCCATCTTTTCAATGAACTTCTTCAATACCCTGAATTCCGTAAGGTCATCCCTATGGGACCATACAAATACGTTATTGATGAAGGTCTTGAAATCAGAAAATTGGTGTTTGAACTTATCTACTCCATCATTAACTCCTCCACCGCCATTAATCACGATACCTTCATGGATCATATCATCTCGGAAGGTCTTACCGATAAAGAACCGGATATCTTAAATTTGGCGTTCATAAGTTTATCCAAGCTTATCTCCATTCATCCAACCTACCTTAACTCCCCAGCGCATCTTCAATTATTGGTGGACAACCTAACCCTTAACTTAAATAAGAAGTTGAAAACCAAAGCTACAAACCAGGAAATAGAGTCATTCAATGAAAACCTTAAGAATTTGATTAATTTGTCTAACACAATTAACCAAATCTTTAACCACAATAACTGGGTCCATGGTAGTTGGGATGGATTCTATCAGAAGGTTTTGAAGTTACAAGGTTGAATATGTAGGTTAAATAATATTAATGCAAGCATATTGATGTCATACATTAACGCATATGCGAGTATTTTGGGTTTGTGGATATTTTTATAGTAAAAATTTATTTTTCTGTTTGTGAATTTTATTCTTTGTGTCAATCAATAAAATTTTTTCACTCCGTTAAACTGCCTGAACATTATTTTTCCGTGCATTCTGATCTATTAGTGTAATTCTTGTGATATTTTCTTGATTTGCGGAATGCCTTTGAAATTCTTTAATTTTTTTTTTGTGCACTTCTTTTTGTGTACTTTATTTTTGTGTACTTTAATTTTTACTCGACTTTTTTTTGTGTGCATTTAAATTACAGTTCTAATCCTGAAAACATCTCACACCTCCATTAACCAGAACATGTCGCTGCGACATCGATAAATCACATAAGGTATATTTTGATTTTAATTTTGCTCCTGCCATATACATTAATTGGGGTAAGGAAGAAGCCAAATCGTATGATAAGATAATAAAATCTCGTGAATAATTTTTGAAAAATCTGTTTCTTTGGTATAACAATTGTTAGGAGATTGAAAAAAATCTGAGTCTCTTCATCTTAAATGGTTCCCATTCGCTTCCAACCCCAGATACAAATATGAATATGAATTCAGGGGTAAAAGCTATTCGTTTAGGGAACGGAAGATTTGTATTTGACGATGGAGATAAAAACTCCTTAAAGGTGATTATGTTGCAGATGATATTGGTTTAACACAAGAAATACGAATATGATTGAATTTCCAATGCTAACAAGAAACCCTAACAAGAAACCCTAACAAGAAACCCTAACAAGAAACCCTAACAAGAAACCCTAACAAGAAACCCCAACTGCCACAATCAGTAGGCCCCCATATAAGTTTTCTTTTCTTTCTCTGAGTCGTTTATGATAATACAATAGCAAGGCATTCCACTAGTATTTCTATGGTGCTATGACAAAAGCTGAGCTATAGACATAACACTTTATCACGTGACACATCATGTGACATTCGGGTAATACAGGTGCGGTTTGTACCTTATGGTGTTTCTATTTGTGGTTGCGGATTTTTGTGGGACATGAGAATATTAATAGACTTTGATGAAACTATAACCACCAAAGATACTATTTCCTTATTACTTTCCCTTCCCCAACATCATCTTCAACCTTCACATTTCTCTGATATTTATCTATCAGCTTATAAAAGTCACGTGAAGTCAGTTGCAAACGTGGAAGATGAAATAAACTTTCAAAAACAATTATTGTCAGTGGAGAATACTTCGATCAATGCTTTACAGCACGAGAAGTTCTTCAAAGGTATAACTGCCAACCAGATCGCGAGATTGAGTTCTGAGGTGGCTGTACAGCCGGGTTTCTTTACTTTTTTGAGAAAGTGTAAGACGTTGAATCTTGCTGTTTCAATATTAAGTCTTAATTGGAGCTCAGTATTGATAAGACTGGTATTGGGTGAGTTTGGTAATGATGTAGAGATTGTGTGTAATGATCTTGAAATGGTGGATGGGGTTTGTACGGGGAATTTTAAGGGAAATATCAGGACAGGGTATGATAAATTACAATATATACGACAATTCCCCCAAAAAGTTTATATAGGAGATAGTCGATCAGATTTATTGAGTCTATTGGCTAGTGATGTGGGTATAGTAATGGAATCGGGATCATTGTTGAAAAAATCACCATGGGAATTGAAAATTAAATCCTTGAATGAGATTCGATTTGTGGATAAGTTTACACATAGAAAAGTGAATGAGTTTACAAATAGAGAAGTGGACAAGTGTACAAATAGAAAAGTGAATGAATTTTCTAATCAACTTTATAAAGCTAATTGGCATGACATAGTTGAATTTATTTAGTGGTTTATCTAGGGATTTTTGTGTTTGTGGATATTATTTGTGTTTGTGGATACTATTTGTGTTTGTGGATATTATTTGTGCTTGTGGATGCTAATTGTATTTATGGATACTGTTATACATGAATCTTTACACATGAACAGTTTCAGTAAACGAAGACTTCCACCGTTTTGATATATAACTCGAGAGATTTTCTTTTTAAATATTCATTATAATACATATCTATTGTCTCCAATAAACTTGAGATTTCTGATTTGGTGGTGATTGATACATTGGATGTGGCATATAACCTGGGACGAATCCTACACCACCATTTTGAACTGCCATACCATTTGCAGATTGTCCATTTTGATGGCCATTTGGTTGTTGAGGAGGAGGCATGGGCATTTGAACCATACCTGGTGGAGGTTGAATATTCTGTTGTAAACCTTGTTGCATAGGTTGAGGAGGCATTCCTTGCATTGGCATTCCTGGCATAAATTGATACATGGGATAAGGATAGTAATATTGTGGACTTCTTCCTGGAGTTCCATTCATTTGTGGTTGTTGAGGTTGAGGTGTAGCATTCACCGAAGGAGGCTGAACTTGGGATAATTGAGGTAATTGAATTGGTTGAGGTAATGGAGGATTTTGAGGTTGTTGAGTCTGAGATTGAGTTGGAGGTTGTTGAGCTTGGGGTTGTTGTGGTTGAGGTTGAGGTGGCTGAGTTTGTATTTGTGGATTTTGAGTTTGTGGAGTTTGTTGAGTTTGTGGATTTTGTACTTGTGGATTTTGTATTTGTGGAGTTTGAGTTTGTGGATTTTGTATTTGTGGATTTTGTGGTTGAGGAGTTTGTTGAGTTTGTATTTGTGATTGTGGTTGAACTTGTATTTGTGGTTGAACTTGACTTTGTTGGTGCTGTTGCTGTTGTTGCTGTTGTTGCTGTTGTGCATCTCCTGGATTTTCTTCTTTCTCATCATCCAAATCTTTAACCAAATTCAATATCAATTCCATGGGCATCTCAATAGGGTTCCTGAATTCAATTTTTTGATCTTCTTTGTTAGCTTTCAATAAATAATTTGATCTCTCCATTAAAGTCTCTACAATACCATTATAATTAGCCCCTAATTTTTTGAAACAATTGGCAGACCTTGAACAAGCATCTGAGGCATCTAATAATTGATTATCACATCTTTCATAAACACAACTTAAACCATCCCAACCTAAACCACCTATGAAATCATCACCTAATCTTAAAGCTTGAGAATAAGCAGCTAAAGCATCAGGTAATTGATTCAAATTCAAATATAATGAACCAATTAAGATCCAAGTTGGAGCATAAGAAGGATTTTTCTTCAAACTAGTCTCTAAGTAATTGAAAGAATCCTTTTGTAATTCCGTAGTTAAAGATAATAAGAACCAAGGACTATGATCATAAGAAGCTTGATGAAATTTAAGTAAATCGTTCAAAATTTGGGAAGATAAAGGTTTATTACCAAACTTTAAAAGGATAAAACAATGAACAATCAAAAGATTATAACTTCTAGGGAATAAAATCAAAGATTGATTGGAATAAAACCATGCTTCTGTGACATTATCCACAGAAAGATAATTTATAATTAATTTAAAATAACATTTTTCATAATAAAACTTATTAAAAGGTAATTGTAAACCTTTCTTTATGTAATCAATAGCCACAGAAGGACTTTTGGATTTGTAAACTTCATTAGCTGCCAAATAAATTTGGAATTTCAACTTATTTGATGGGTTTAATGAAAGGGCATAAGTTATAGGACCATCGAAATCACCATAAATTAATGATCTAAGGTACCAATGATAAGGATTTGTCGATTGGGATTGTAAAATACTATTAAAATGATATTGACTGGTAGTTAAATCACCCAGTTGATAATATAACCAAGATAAATTGAATGACATATTGATAGATAATGCTTTTGTGTCAAAGTTTGCTTCTATGAATACAATAAGATCTTTTATGGCTTTTGTGTCATTATGAATAATAACAAATTCAGTTAAATCACCAATAGCAGCTTCATGTTTGGAATTATGTTTCAATACATTTTCAAGGTAAAGTTTTGAATGGGGGGAATCTAAAGTTAAAGAAAAGCTGGAGATTTGATACCACGTAATGGCGAAGTTATCAGATATTTCCATTATATTGAAACTTTCCCAATGATTCAAGGGTAGTTTAACCTCAGTTTAAGAAATTTGGGTTGAAGTTGTTGATGCTCAGATTTGCGACGCATTCTGATGAGAAATTTTATAGCCGCTATGCAGATTTTAGACTTTTTATTTTAAGTCCAACAATGCAATTGTTATAGTATGCCGGGGGAGGTAGCAACGTCATAATCATGACATATAGTTGAAAGGGGGGTTAAACCTAGTATAATGATAATTCAATAACATGAACAATTTAGAGGGGAATTTATTTAGTTCCACCCCTGAATTGTATCTTATTGGGCCTAATGCAAAGTTAGTGAGTGGAATGAAATTGGTCCAGTGCCCTCAACTTGCCTGCAACGCCCTTATACCATGTGTACAGGACGACGTCGGAATTGGAACAGAGAAAATGTCGGATCGCTCATCTCCGCATGTACCCGCTGTGCGTCATGCGTGGGTTAGGTCCGCGGTAAGAAGCAAGGAATACGGGTTGCGAGCGTGACGCTACGTAATCTACGTAAATGGTCTTCCACAACAACCAGCGTATTTTATCGGTTAAATTTTATGTTGATGCCATAGATCTTTTTGGGTTTAGAACAATAGGAGGTGCCGGAATGTTGGATGGCATAATCCGCATGTGTGATAACACGTCATAGATTTTCGGGGTTATTTTTGGATTATGCTAGTTTAGGATGATGTACTTGGGCATATTTCCAGTAGGTTACGGAGATTAACTGTTACCACCCTGAAACGAAATTTATCTAATCAAGGGTTTATTTATGGCCAAGATTTAGGAAGGTACCGTAAGTTGGTTGGTTGATATTGCGGGACATGCCCGCAGTACTAATGGTTCCGCACTACGTTAGTTCCGCGACCAGTCATTAATTGTCACAAGCCTTGCCACTAAATTTAGCACCAAACTGTTGCGCGCGCCTTTGATCAGTGTTCCGATGACTATATTGAAAAACCTTGTAAATACCTGTAAGTCTTGTGGAATCACTCTTCAATCCACAAACAAGCTACTACCGGGATTCCTCCCCCTTATAAAGCATAAAGCATACCAGAAGTCCGAAGATGTGGTGTTCAACAAATATATTTCCAAACTCAATCCTGAAGATCTCAGTCTTCTTAACTATGACAAGAAGCTAATACCTCACCACCATAAAGATGCTCAAGAAGCTAAGGAATGTTTGAGATGTAGAGACATCAAATACAAGAATAAGTTCACAGAAGAGACAAACATCACACCAGAATTCCCTGAAATCAAACTCCACAAAGTCATCTATGTCATCTCAGCAGTGGAATTCCCGCTAAATTTAAACCGTCATTACTTAAACCTGGAATCCATGGTGGTGGTCAATAAGATGGACATGTTGGTGGCCGATGCTAAGAAACTTGACAGTATCACTTTCTTCAAGAGTTATTTACACAAAAACTATGGGGTTAAACCAGAGAACGTTTTTTTGGTCAGTTGTAATAAAATGTTCGGTATCAATCGGTTATACCAACACCTTTCGGCTCAAGCTACCATCCAAGATTATCAACTTGTCGGAGATATCAATAGTGGGAAATCTTCGCTTATATCCTCTTTAATGTACCAACAAAAAGCAGACTTTCGGATATCCCCGTCAAAGTTTAAATTATCAAATGGACCAGGTATAAGTGATTTCCCAGGGTTTACTCGTAACCTTATCAACTTCAATCTTGAAAAATTCCAGATAAATGACTCCCCCGGGTTTAACCAGTTCAGTCTTCCTGATTTCCATAACTTCAAGAATGTCTTCAAAGGAGTAAAGATGTATAAATCCGGTCTTTATAATCACAAGTACGTTGGTATTAATGGTCCACATATCCTATCATTTGCTGGAGTGTTCTATATCAAGTTCCCTCAAGGTGTCTTCCAGTACAAGAATCTCATCAACATCCAACCGATAAGAGTATCAAATCTCGACAAATTGAAACAATGGCAGGAAACTTACGATACCAACAATTCCTTAAAACATCAGCATCTCATCCCACCTACCACCGACTTGAAGAAATATGTTGTACCACCATTTAATGGGAAAATCGATTTGGTGGTGAAAAATTTCGGTTACTTGGAAATCACTCCTACGGGGAAGAAATCCAATGACCTTATTGAAATTTATCTTCCCTCCCATCTCAATGTGGATATTATCATCCGTAAACCTTTGGTAAAGTTTATTTATAAGTCCTTAAGTGGAATCGATAAATACGGAAATCCCTTAAAACGGGAAAATCTTTTTAAATCCACAAAGACAGTTACGGAATACGACGGGAGTTTATTTCATTCCAGGTTAATTCCTGTTAATGGTGATAACTTCCAAGCCATCAAGGAGTTCACTGGTAAAGACTATAACCATGATAGTGAAGTGAAGAATGGTAATTATTGGATAGGTTAAATATATTTCAGACACATGAGTGTCTTCACAGCAAGTAAGGCAAAAATTTCTATAAAAAATTTCTAGCAATTCTGCAGGCATTACGACATATCCGCGGTGCATGAAAATCAGTCCATGGTTCTTTTCCCTGGGCATGAAAGTATTTATAGTTGGTGTAATGAGGTAATTAGAACTGCAGGGATCGTATATATTGGCTAGGAAGATGCAACTATGGGATACTATAGAGACTTATGGTGGGTGAATAAGAAGTTAAGGCAACTTCAATTGTTAAGATAATGGTCATTCATCTTTGACGACATCAGGCAAATTCCTATTCCGTCAATTAGAATTTGTCAATATTTAGAACAATGCTCAGGCTAAAACTACTAAAAAAAAAATAATTCCGCGTGACGCCTGGAATAAATAGGAATTAAGAAATTACAGCCGTGTCATGTGACGTGGCACGTGAATCAGAGGTTGAAGATTGACGACAATTGAGGAATATTTGACGACACTTGTTTGATACTTACACGAAAGGGTCACGACACTTTGTCGACCTTTTGACGACACTTTCGATAATTTGACGACACTTTTCCAATTAAACCTCCTATTCGCATAATCCACAAACTCAAATATTCCACAAATTGATATCCACAAATACAAAAAAACACCTGCGACATTGTCGGATCTCCTTTCAAATTCGTGAATTTCCTTCTCCAGTTGTTTCATAAATAACGCGACTCGCCTACTCCATCCCTTATCCATCCCTTCTAACCTATACTTCGACCTGTGAAAAATTTCAACTCCCTCCCCATTTAACCTTCTCCTATTCGTCTAAAGGGTTCCACTTTCCCAATTATATTTGTTGTGTAATTCATTGACGATATCATTTGACGATTTTAGTTGACGACTCATCAAAGAATATTTTTTCCTATTGTTCCATTGAAAAATAAACATCATTTAACCAATTAGTCAAAAAGGGGACTCATCACATTGTTCAGTTGTTTACGTTATTGTGATTGTTAAATTTTTTTTTCAATAGCTGATTGTGGTAGATAATACAGATTGTTAAAATAGTATAAAGATGATGAAAAGTAGGAGTTATCAGAATCTAATGGATAATAAGAGAAAACCTAGACCTTTGAGTCAATCGTTATCGATCAACAACTTACATGGATTTTCGTTGAAAGCCAAAAGTAAAGCTACACCAGTGGTGACATCTACGAATAATATAAGATCAACAACTTTAAAATCCACAAATTCATTAACTACAAACTCAAGATCCACAAAACCAACATCCACAAATACATCAACAACCACAAATACAAAATTCACAAATACATCAACAACCACAAATACAAAATCCACAAATACATCAACAACCACAAAACCAGCTACCTCAAATACATCAACAAAATCAATGATAATTCCTTCTAAATCAATTTCAACTGATTCTAAAGACATCACAGTTAAATCTTCAAATGTCAAATCTTCAAATGTTACCTTACGTTCAAGTGTTTCATCCAGAGAGGTTTCCAGCTCAAAGAAAGAAGAAAAGAGAAAGAAGAGATTCTCTATAATATCTTTCATCCAACCTGATAGTGACTCAAGTCCAGAATCAATTATGGACAACAAGATGGATATCGACCTTCAACCTATTGAAATGGATGATGATACTTCGATTGAATCAGAATACGACATATCTATTGAACTGAAAAAGAGAACTTCGAACTTATCCAATATCATGGAATTCATTGATCTTATCAATTATGGAGACGTGAAGAGAAAACTGATCAAACTTGAATCTTCCATCATAGAAGAGTTCAATCAAGGCGATTACAAAGTTCAACCAGTGTCCAATATGCTTTTGTTTGGCTATGAACATCAACCATCAACTTTAGATTTGGATGATATAAATTATTGGGACGATGAAATATAATGTCGGAGAGATTAGGTGGTTTTGATAACCTAAAGCTTTTTGTGAAACCTTCCTTTTTGTGAAACCATCTTTTTGTGAACAATCTGTTAGTTAACAATCATTTTGTGCAACAATCTGTTCAATGTCGTACGATAAACCAAATGTCACGAGACCTGGTGCGACACCTCGCGGAACTTCAGTTCCCCTTTTGTATAGTAGTGTAATATATGTTTAAAAGAGTTATCATTGGTACAGGCTTTCTAACCACAGGTCTCTTATGTTACCAATATGGTAGAACCAGACCCCATTCCTCATTCATTCCTCCTGATATGTTCCCATCAGGATCAACCACTTCCCTTCCCAAGATCTCCCCGCCGGTGTATGCCAATGATAGTCAATTCCATCAGGCCATCAACAAATTGAAAGATATCTTAAAAGAGGACCAAATCAAAGATTCCAAAGTGGAGATAGAGTATCATACCAGGAACGAGTTTACTCCCCATGAGCCTGGTGCCAACGATAAGCCCAGAGTGGTGGTATACCCTCATCTGACGGAAGAAGTTTCCCAAATCATGAAGATTTTGAATGATTACAAGGTCCCCGTAGTACCATTTTCCGGTGGAACTTCGTTAGAAGGTCACTTCTTCTCCACCAGACAAGGTGTGGTCCTTGACACGTCGAAAATGAATAAGATTTTGGCAGTTAACTACGATGATTTGGATGTGGTCGTTCAAGCCGGAGTTAATTGGGTAAAGTTGAACGAGTCATTGAAACCTGATAATCTCATGATTGGTTCTGATTGTGGACCTGATGGGTTGATCTCGGGGATGATCAATACCAATGCTTCAGGGATTAATGCTTCCAAGTATGGAGCTATGATTTCCAATGTTATAAATTTAACCGTAGTTTTGCCCGACGGGACCATCATTAAGACCAAGCAGAGACCTAGAAAGACCAGTAGTGGATACTCCTTGACCCATTTATTCATTGGAAGTGAAGGAACGTTGGGAATCGTCACTGAGGCCACCCTCAAGTTACATCCTATCCCTAAATTTGAGACCGTGATTGTTGGACAATTCCCATCATTGCTCGACTCCACCAATACCGTAAGTCAAATCTATAGAAATGGAATCCATCCCAATGCCATAGAACTTCTTGATGCCGACATGATGCATTGTATCAATTATTCAGGATACTTTTCTAAAGAATGGGATGAAGTTCCTACGTTATACTTCAAAATAGGAGGCTTAACCCCCACCATGGTAGAAGAACAAGTCAAAGTATTGAAGGATATCAGTCTTAAGAACAACTGTACCAATTTCATCAAAGCCAAAGATAAAGAAGAAGCGGAAGAATTGTTTAGTGCACGTAAAAATGCTTTCTACGCCATTTTGAACTATGGAAAGAATGAAATCAATGAAGATGTTAGACTTTGGGTCACAGATATCGCTGTTCCGTTATCGAAACTTTCACCAGTTTTGAACGAGATCAATACCATGATCAGAAAATCCGGTTTACAGTCCATCATTCTTGCTCATGCTGGAGATGCTAATTTCCATTGTGACGTGTTCTATAGAGAATCGGAAAAAGAGAAATGTGAAGCGTTGATCAATGAAATGATGGATTTAGGTTTGGCGAATGAAGGGACTTCTAGTGGAGAGCACGGAATTGGGAACGGAAAACGGAATTTCCTTGTTAAAGAGTTGGGCCAAGATACGGTAGACTTCATGAGACGTATTAAGTTGGCGGTGGACCCCAATAGGATAATGAATCCGGATAAGATATTTAAGATTGATCCTGAGGATGATGGTCCTTATTGATCTTATTGATCTTATTGATCTCGTTGATGGGCCCTGTTGATGGGCCCTGTTGATGGGCCTTGTTGATGGAACAGTTGAGTTACTCACCACAGGTGGACTTGGCTACCACCATCTACATCGACATGAAACAGAACAGTCCATTACAGACCCGTCCAATAAAGTCCCATCTCATCTCATCCAAATAGAAACCAGTTTATAGAGTTATAGATTTACCCATTTCTTCCGTCCTATCATCTCCATCCCGCCTTCATCTCCCGTCCTATCGCCCTTCCACAACCTCCCTACATTCACTTCTCATCACCTGAACCCTACGAACCCCCAATTCCACCCCCTTTAAAATCTCAACTCATATCGACAATCTCCCCTTATCCTTATCTTATCTTATCGCATCGGACACATCGGACATCAATGTCCTCCACTGTTGTTATCTATCTTCCCCCAACTTCTTCCCATCACCCCCTCCCCCACCGGGTCTTCTATTTAAACCCATCGTTCGCCTTCAGCCTCACCATATTCTTTATCCATGGATGATAAAATCCGACAGTTCACTACCACCCCTATTAAAAAAAAAGTGAGAAAATTTTCTCAACGATAAGATGTCATTTGACAACATGAAGAAAGTCAATAACTTGAATTTAAACAACAAACCATCGTTGTTATCGACATCGTTGGCCAACCAAAGGCTTATGGATCAACAGAATATGATAGATTCCAATTTGCCCGGAGTTTCTAGTGTCATGGAAGAAGAAGAAGATTATAGTGATCATCCAGAACCTGAGTTGTTAGCTACTTCAGTAGATGGTAAGTTGATACCTTCTTCTTCTAGCATTTCATTATTTTCATTGAACCAATCACAGCAGTACAGTCCAAAGATTCAAAGTCAGACGTTTTCCCAGCTTACACCAGTACAGCAATCTCCGCAACAATCACAACAATCACAACAATCACAGTCACAACAGTCACAACAATCAATAGTATCACCATTAGCATCACAAACAGCATTATCAACTCAACCACAAACCCAATCACAACAGTACACCAGTCCTCAACTTGTTCAAGGAGAATTACGTAGAGGCAGAAATTCCGTCAGTTCCCTCAATCAAAAACGTTATGAAAACTATAGACTTACAAGTCCACCAATCCAAGATCCCGTGGTGGCTATCCCCATCAACAATAAAAATTTAAATGTCCCTGATTCCCCCAATTTAGATCCTACATCATTAACAGGGTCACCTTCAAGATTCTGGCTTTCTAGTCAAACACCCCCTAAACTGTTGAACAACAGTTACAAACGATTATCAGGACTTTCAGAATATCAGAAAAACCAATTGAATCATCAATTATCCAACTTACAGTTGCAACAAATCCAATCAGTCCAACCTATGAGAATACCCAAAGACGTTAGAGATTCACCTATTTTGAATCCTCAAACCCCCAACGAAGACCAACCAATGACACCGCTTTATTTGAACAATAATTACCTTACTAGCAATTACTTTACCAAGGATGCCCATATTGATGAAGAAGATGAAGAGATGGTTTAATGCATAATGACGTACGAGATTTTTTGTTAGCTCTATTAGTTTCTGTTGACTCTGAGCTGCCTCCTGTGCGAGTTCAATCTGCTCTACCGCCTGTTTCTGCCATTCACACCTCTTCTAGTACCCATAAAGCACTTCCGGTGCTCCTTCTACGACTCCTCCACTGTCTTCTTACCTTCACAATTCCTCCACTATCCCCCACTCTATTTCTTCCTGTTTTGTAGAAATCGCGAAAGGCAAATGTCTACCTATGAAGATGAACACAATATCACCCACCGTCAAACCACCCCAGACAACTCCAGAACTCACCAGACATTATCGTCAGTGATCAATTCATTCATCACTACCACCACCAATGCTCCCGATATGAATGAAATCGCACAAGCCCTCCAATCAATGGAAGGATCTATAGCTTCTCAACTAGTAGAAACCTTACACAACGAAAAGAAACAAGGGTTAGATGACTCATACCTTGACAACTTGGAAAGAGTTAACGTTAAAGATTTGGGTGACGACGATTGCCCCATTTGTACCAACAAATTTCAAGACGATAAACATCCATTGATAGTTAAGCTTCCGTGCGGGCTGAAGAAAGGTCATATATTTGATTTAGATTGCATAGGCCCATGGTTGAAGATGAACAGTACGTGTCCGTTGTGTCGGTTTGACTTGTTGGACCTTCAAAAGCAGAGGAAGGAAAAGTTGGATAAAGAATTGAAACAGTTGAGGGATGAGGATAGTGAAGAGGAAGAAGAGGATTGGGATGTTTACGGGTAGATTGGTAGACAGAGATAAAGATAAAGTCAGAGACATAGATAAAGCTAGAGACAGAGCCAGCGGCCCCATAAAACTCCTAAGAATATATATACAGGCTAAAAATGTTTCTTAAACTGGTCAGACGCCAATAACTCTTCCACTCTCTCCATGATCGGATCATTACTATCCTTATAAGATTCCGGAACGGCGAAATCTTTCAAATCATCTAATTCCTTAACAAACAGTTGAGATTCTCTAGTATGAATCTTGGCTGAATATTTGACCCCTTCCACAGCATATTTGTTAACATAACTCATCCACAAGTCTACCACCTCAGCATTAGCATCATATCCAATGACCTTATAGTTATAAGTGACTCTATGGAAATTCTGTTTGGTTTTAGCTTGAGCAAAAGGGGACTTTATCACGGTATATAATCTTTTTTCCGTCTTTTCCTTAATAATGGAACTTACAGGTATACCTAGGAAGAAGGCAGCTCTAGAAACAAACTCACCTGCCAATTTAATATCATCTTCTTCATAACCTCTGAATTTGATGGTGGCTACTTCATGGCCATGGGTTTTAGGTAATCTGATTGGTTTATATTTCAATAATTCCACATTGATTGGTTCATTACTGATGATTTTGGGTTCATAAGGGTAATCTCCTTGTAAAAGGGAGGATTTGAATTGTTGTTGTTCGACTTCTTGTTGTTTGATTTGAGACAAGTATTCTGATGGTGATACTTTTCCAGTGGTACTACCATTAGTCAGTCCACTAGGTCCGTTATTCAAAACTTTCCCTGAACTACCTTTGGCCTTAGCTTTACTCTTGACTGGTTTAACGCCACCAGCTTGGTTAAGTACTCGTAAGCCGGTACTGAAAAACCTGGACCTGAACATTGATGAAAATTTTCACTTGTGCGAAATCTCATGGGTAAGAATAGTAAGGATAAGAGAGATTTGTACTATCGTCGAGCTAAGGAGGAAGGGTATCGGGCCCGTTCGGCGTTCAAACTCTTACAAATGAATGAACAATTTGCATTATTCGATGATATTTCCAAAGTAGTGGATCTTTGTGCTGCTCCAGGTAGTTGGTGTCAGGTGCTCACCTCAGAAATCAAGAAGGATAAGAAGATAGTTGCAGTTGATTTACAACCTATGACCCCTATAGACGGTGTTACATGTCTACAGGCAGATATCACCCACCCCAAGACGTTACAGAAGATTTTAGACATTTTTGATGGAGAAAAAGCCGATTTTGTCTGTAGTGATGGAGCTCCTGATGTCACAGGACTTCATGATTTGGATGAATATATTCAAGCTCAATTGGTATTATCAGCATTACAACTTACGACGTGTATATTGAAACCAGGAGGTAAATTTGTCGCTAAAATCTTCCGAGGAAGAGATATTGACCTTTTATATAACCAGTTGAATCATCTTTTCGAGACCGTGATCTGTGCCAAACCCAGGTCATCGCGAGGTTCATCATTAGAAGCATTTGTGGTGTGTTTGAATTATCAACCACCAAAAGATTGGAATCCTCAATTAAAACTTAACCAATCAACAGAAGAATTCTTTGAAAACGTCGATATAGGTAAAGCAAAGAATGTTCAATACTTTGATTTAAATGATGATGAAAGGCTGATAGTGAAATTTCTTGCTTGTGGAGATTTGAATGATGGAGATTCTGATGCTACATATACTTTAGATAAAGAACGAATAGTATTACCACCAGTACAAATGCCCACAGCACCTCCTTATAAGGAAGCATTAGAGATGAAACGGAAAGGATTAGCTAGATAATTTAATTTGATTTAATTTAATATATATTATAGTGGAGGTGTACCGAAGTTGGTGTACCGAACTTTAAATTTTTTCAGATTTTAATTTTCTGATTTATCTTCACCTTTAACAAAAGCATCAGGTTTTAAAGTTGGGAATAATAAAACTTCTCTAATAGTATTAGAATTAGTTAAAAACATAGCTAATCTATCAATACCACAACCCCAACCAGCAGTTGGTGGTAAACCATATTCTAAAGCATTACAGAAAGTTTCATCAACCATTTGAGCTTCATCATCACCTTGAGCTTTTTGTCTTGCTTGTTCTTCAAATCTTGCTCTTTGATCAAAAGGATCATTCAATTCAGTATAAGCATTACAAATTTCTTTAGTAGCAACGAAAACTTCAAATCTTTCACATAATCCAGGAATTTCTCTATCTCTTTTAGCTAAAGGAGACATCATTTGTGGATGACCAAAGATAAATGTTGGATTAATTGAAGCATCTTCTAATTCCCCAACTAATTTATCCAACATTCTAGCATTAGTTAAAGGAGGTGGACAATCTAATTTATTATCAATTAAAATTTGTTTTAAGAATTTACCAGTTTCTTCAGTATGTAATTGATCACCAGCAGGGAATTTAACATTGAAAATTTTTTCTAATTCTTCAATCATATTAATTCTTTTCCAAGGTCTTGAGAAATCAATAGTTAATTCTTTACCTTCTGGACCATCAGGTTGATACATAATTTTATAATCTCCAGTAATTTCTTTAACCATTTCACTAAATAATAATTCGGTCATATCCATCAAATCATAAACATCAGCATAAGCTTGATAGAATTCACAAGTAGTAAATTCAGGATTATGAGTCATATCAATACCTTCATTTCTAAATTGTCTACCAATTTCATAAACTCTATCCATACCACCAACAACTAATTCTTTAAGGAATAATTCCGGAGCAATTCTCATATACATATCAAGATTTAAATCATTATGATGAGTAATAAAAGGTTTAGCAGTAGCTCCACCAGCAATAATATTCATCATTGGAGTTTCAACTTCAATAAAATCTCTATTATCTAAGAATTTTCTAATATATTTGATGATAGCTGATCTTACTTTAAATCTATCTCTAACATTATCATTAATGATTAAATCCAAATATCTTTTTCTATAACGTTGTTCTTGATCTTTAAAACCAAAATGTTCAGTTGGTAACATATGAAGACATGGGGTTAATAATTGAACTTTTTTAGCAAACACTGAGATCTCTCCTTCACCTCCTTTAGCAGGGGATGTTCTACCAGGATATCCAGTAATTCCAATAATATCCCCTCTTCTAAGATATTCATGCATTTTTTCATACATTTCAATTGATTCACAATCTTGAGCTTGGGCCATAATTTGAATTTGTACTCCATCTCCTTTTAATACATAGAATTTCAATTTAGATCCACTTTCTCTTTTACTCATAATTCTACCACTAACACAAACTTCAATATCTTTTAAAGTTTCACCTCTAGTTAAGTTACCATATTTAGCTAAAAATTCAGGTAATCTGGTAGTAACGTTAAATTTATGAGGATAAGGATTAAATTTGGAATTATCAAGTAAATTTTCTTCTCTTAATTCATTAACTTGTCTTGATCTGATTTCGAAATATTGATTTGGGTTTAAATCAGCTAATTGGTCTTTTTTAGTAGCTTTTGGTTTGGCGACATTATTGGCAGATTTTTCAGCTTTTCTGGCTTCAATAGATCTGATTTTTTGTCTTTTTTTCAATTCACTTTTGGAAACGTACTCACCGGTGACGTCGTCCAAGTAAGTTTTTTGTAATTGTTCGGTTACTTTATCAGTTTCAGACATGATGAAAATTTTTTCAGCAGAGTGAGAAGTGAGAAGGGAGAAGTGAGGGAGAAAGTGAGAAGGGAGAGTGAGGGAGTTGAGAGTGCGGTAGGGATTAATGAGTCATGTGGAGTCTTTACCCTGTGTTGATCTTTACCCTGTGTTGGACTCTTTCCCTCTTTACCCTGTAGTGTTGGACTCTTTACCCTGCGTTGATCTTTACCCTGTGTTGATCTGGACTCTAGAGAGTCTGGGATCTGGAACTTTAGTTGACTCTGGCTCTGAATCTTGAAGACACATGGCCCTTGTATTGACAATGGGCCGTAGATAGCGGACTCCACGTACTCTCTGAATAGAACATGGGTATCAGGCAATAAACTACAAGTAACAGTCACCTCAAATCATACAATCTATTGAGTGATTGAGTGAACGGATGTTACACTTGGAAGGCGTAGGTGTACGACCAGGTGTACGACCAGGAGTACGCTCAGCAGTACAGTCAAGAGTACAATCAAGAGTACAATCAAGAGTACAAGTAGGAGTACAATTGATCAGAAGTAGTTGGATCAGGAGAAGTGAGAACTGGGTAAAGAAAGTAAAGAGAAAATACCTCAAGATAGAACACTAGGAAACCAGCACAAACCAATGGAAAGGCTGTTAACCAGTAGAATACAGGACAAATCAATAGAAACGCTGTAAAAAGCAGGAGAAACCCAGACAGGAGAAACCCAGAGAAGACAGAAGTCACAATAACCTCCTTATTTAGCTGCCCACAAAGTCCATGAATTCACCTCTTACACACCACTATGCTCTACCTCCCCATCCCTCATCTCCATCCCCCACCATCGTCTCACCTTCTCACCTTCTCACCTTCTCACCTTCTCACCTTCTCACCTTCTCACCTTCTCACCTTCTCACCTTCTCACCTTTCTCACTGCGAAAATTTTTCATCATGAAGAAGTATCAAGAACCAACAGCTAAGTCTATCGACATCGAAGCTTCAGTGTTATTATCCTTAATCAGAAACACTTCAGAAAACTACCCAGCTATCTTCTCCGGAGCTTTATTTGGTTTCGAAGATGATAACGGATCAGTAGATATTTCTCATGTTTGTCCTTATCCATACCCTGATCAATATGAAGGAGGTTCATTAAAATCCCGTAGTGGTTTAAAATTTCAGAATGAATTTGCTGATTCTTTAAAATCTTTAGGTTACGGTGTTGAATTTCAAGGTTGGTTCCAATCAACCATTTCAGGTAACTATATAACCAATCATCTTGTTGAATCTTTGATCCAACAACAATTCATTAATAAGAATTCTTTCATTTTAATTCATAATATGGCATCCATTGGTAAAGAAGTTGATTTAAAAGCTATCAGATTAACAGAAAATTTCATCAAAACTTACATCGATAATAAATGGAAATCAAAAGATTTAGAATTGAACAAATTATCCTTCTTAAATATCTTTGAAGAGATCCCTATCAACATCAATAACCAATATTTAATCGATTTATACCTTTCAGAAAATTTACCTCAATTAAATCAATCAAAATTAAATGAATTCGATAACTTGAATTTATTATCCAATCAAAATGTCACTTCAAAATTATTAGAAAGTTTAAGTATTCAAGTAGATAATTATAATTTTGATCAAAATAATTTCAATTATTATCAAAGACAATATCTGAAAGAAAATACAAAGATAAATCAATGGAAGAATAATCGGAAATTAGAAAATTTAGAAAGATCTAAAAGAGGTGAAAGTGAATTAGATGTTAATGAATGGCAAAGTTTATATAAATTACCAGTTGAACCTTCAAGATATAATAATATGTTATATTCTAATGCCATTGATAATTTGGCTGATGATTTATTAAAGAAATGTGATGAAGAATTAATTAAGAGTTTTGCTGTTGAAGGTAAAGTAACTGAATAGATCTTGTGATTATCTGAATTCTCTTTTTACCCTGGTTTACTCTACTCGGCTTTGCCAGTTCTACTTACATCTCTTGAATCTCTTGTCCTGACCAATCTGAAACATCAAAATTTCCTAATTGGGAAATTATTCATAATCTGAAACATTCACATTTACCCCTACTGTCAACCTTAAGGGCGTTCAACTGCAACCCAACTTTCGGTCCCAAGGGTGTTCAACTTTCGGCCCTAAAGGCATTCAACTGTCGGCCCTAAAGGCATTTAACTGTCGGAACGCATTCAACTGTAACCCCACATCCCCCAGTTATCAAAAATCACCTCAATACATAGGTTTATTAGTAAAGAAATCACCATCTCTCTACAGCACCCAACAGAAAGTACAACTTCGTCCCAATTTTTCAAGGTTGCCTCAGAGAAGTCAATTAAATGGAACTTCCCTCTTGACACAATGATATTTCTCCAGAAAATAGCGTTGTGTTCGATTCCCAAGGATCTCAAAAGTTCAACTTGGTGCTTTGCTTC